TGAATCACATCGATATGAAAAATAATTAATTATTAGACAAAGAACTCTGGGAAATGAAAATGCCACGTGCGTAGAAAATTAGTTTGTCTGCCATTCTCGTTGCAATTGCAGAAATGGTGTCGTCTGTCGACTGAGAAAGCTTTCTCCAGGATATGAACGACCGGTTACCTTTGCAGTTGAACCTGCTGGTCAGTCAGTGGCTGTGCGTGTGTTACGCGGCAGGAGAGTTTATATCCTATATTATTTCAATGTGTTTCCATTTTCACGACTTTCTAGTCAAATAGTGCGACCCTTTATCGAATGCATCAGTCATTGTTTCCGATTGTCTTCATTTAAGCCCGCTTGACAGGGGGTCTCTTTGTAACCGTTGCTTATTTTCAGACTTCACCTTGAGTTAGAAATTAGTCCTTACCCACTGTTTTTTTGGAGTGGGTATTATGAATACTATGTTCCGTTACCGACGAATTTGTGCGTATTTGTCATTTTACACATTTATGGAAGTAAGTTTAAAGGTATGTTTTTGACTGATGTCGACATAATAAATTGGGTATCACTGATATTAAGGAAGGTTTAACTTTTGACTGATGTACATAATAAATTGTGAGTCTGCAGATAACCGAAGCGATGTTTGGAGGGCTAGAATCCAACTTGCTTGGACTGCAGTCTGAGGGTCGTCCCTCTGTGCAGAAGATTGCGATCCTTATTTAGTATTCCACAACCAAGCCAAAGCAGCATCGATGGTGTCCTCACTCGAGTTTTTATGAAGCAAGTCGCGTTTTGGTAAATAGAAAACATATTGTTACTGACAATAAAAACAACGGCAAGAGTGTTATAAGTGGGCATGTAAGGAAAGTGAATCATTGGTGTTTTACGCCTACACCATCCATATCATGTAAATCTAGTTTTGTACCCTATGCATCCTTATGCAGAAGTCAGTATTCCATATGTGGGGGTTAAGCACTACATGTACTGAAATGGGTCAGTTAACACCTGTCATAACAACCTGTGAAACCCGTGAAGATCTTGTCGGAGTTGAGAATGATTGATCTTCAGTAAATTCCCAACATGCTTGACACCAGAAAGAGGCTTCGACCCATGTGGGATTAACGGGATCGGGTGGTCAGGCTCGCTGTCTTGGTTGACACATGTCATCGGTTCCCAATTGCGTAGATCGATGCTCATGCTGTTGATCACTGGATTGTCTGGTCCAGACTCGATTATTTACAGACCGCCGCCATATAGCTGGAATATGGCTGAGTGCGGCGTAAAACTAAACTCACTCACCTGTCATAACATGTAACAACGCTAAATGATGGCCACATTTAGTATGGAACACAATAATGTGGATATATATACTATTGAATTATTTCATCCATGATGACTTGTATGTACATTGCAGGAATAACTGATTGGTTTAGGAAAGCATGCATGGTAGAGAAGGAATTCTGAATTTGGTATATGCTTCATTTATGCCACAATATTAAAAAGAGGAAATATTGATAAAAATGTAACACTAAACGTATAGTCTCTTTTATTCTTCATATTTGTTTTCTTCATTTGCGAGTTCACCCATTATTAAGAAAGGCAACTTGTAGATATGGTGACAGATCCGTAGTTAGGGCATGTCCACTCAAATGTTTCGCCGACTTCATCACTTTGAAATCCATGGTGCTTTTTATAACATTTGAATGCAGCAATAGTTAAAAAGTTGGAAATAGCACAAAGGCTGATAAATCAGATGAGTGCATCGTTTCATTGATGCGATAGAAAAGGACGGGACGATAGTTGTTTTTCTTTTCTTTCTCTTTCACAGAGGTTACTCTTGTCATACCTTCCTACGCGGATCAGTTGACATGATTTCCGCAAAATCAAAACCAAGTTACTTTGCCAAGAAGTTTAATTTTAGCCTCAGGAGGTACATTGATGATATGTTTTCGTTCAATAACAATCAAATATCGAATTCCCTTTAACTGATCTACCCACCTGAACTGATGGAGACCAGTGAGACCGCTTCATGTGTGTCATATTTAGATCTATGCGTAAAGATTCAAAGTCACAAAACACTCCCAACAAGGCTGTAACAAGAGGGATGACTTTCCTATTATCAGTTGCTTTCCCCTTTGTCGAACAATATTCCAGCAGGTTCCAGCCTTTGGTTTTCACATTTCACTACCTTTGAGGTAGAATGGAGCATGCTGTTTTTATCAAGATTTCAAAATGTTTTTACAGGTGTTCTTGCATGAATCCGTCTCTGGACGTAGCATATATCAAAAAGAGTTACAGGAGGGCACATTGAGGCAGAAACCAGCGCGAAATAAAACACTGTATCATTGTTAAAAGAGAATTGTCAGCTCTTTGTGAAAGCGACGTTCGCCCAAGTTCTACTTCTGCGTCTTGATACCATATCTACGATACTCACCGTCACTGATGATATTCCAGTGGAATTAGAAGCGAGTTATTGCTTAAATGTAAAGCTCTGTTATATTCAAAATAGTAATAACGTAAACATGCCAGGCATATAACATTTGACTTGACCGTTTAACCCTCAGATCGGGTAATGAGAAACAAGGACTACAGTAAGAGTTCAATAATGCAAAATGCAAATAGCAAATAGAAATATAATCGTACTACCATACAATGCTCTTTGTCACATATTTTGCTCTAATCCCGTAAATAGTAAAAGCACAAACCATGCCCCCATCTACCAACTGTGTTTCGTGGAAAGAGGGCAAAAACTAACCTTCATGTACTATGATATGTACAAAGATAAGATTTGGAGGACTATCGAGGTAGAGTTTTAACAAACAAAGACATGGCATGAAACCTTACGTCTAAGCTTATGTCCAGATACCTCTTGTAGGTACTGCTCCAAAAGAATAAAACATACTGAAGTACCTGACATGAAAGACCCTACCCTCATTTCGACCAAACGAGTGTTCTGTTGGGGGAGGTCATGAAACAGTATTTTCCCCAAACTCAGGAAGCATGGCCTGCAATGCAGTCTCACGAAACAAGAGTGTCTTTTTCTGCCTCAGACGAAGGCAAAGACTCCCGGAAAGTCGTTGTATGTCCATAGTATGGTCAAGTATCTCTCTTCATGCAGCCCATGTCGACACATGTAGCATACACAAAACAAAAGCCCAGCCAATCCCACACATGAAGATGTAAATCTGGGGTGTCTGGTATGTCTGGAGTCTTTGCATGACAAAGCTCACGCTTAAAACCATTTAGGTTATGATGACACCCCAACTGACCTTCCGACCCATGGAGATTAGATACACATGTAAATTAGGCTCTGTCAGTTGTGCCAACTTCTTTTCCATCAAATAAGCAGATTGATTTTCTGCTCAGACAGGGTACTGGCTCAAACTCATGCACTGGACAGCTAATATGCAGGAAACACTGTTTGACTACTATGTTCCCTTTACATACTGTGCCCAGCCTTGTTCCCAAAGGCGACTGACAGAAGCTGGTACTTCGTTTCGCCGTTTTCGAGACCACCTGGAATCAAGGCTAGCACGGACAACTGCTAATTAACAATTTAGTAAGTGTGGTGTGCTGTGCTGGCAGAGCCACAGCGTCGCGATCGGCTATGATATTCTCTGATTTGTCAGATCCACAGCAGGCAAATGTCTCAAAAGATTCTGCCAGGAGAATTCTCTGATACATGCATACTTAACTTGAAGAAATACCCTTGATCACTGCGTTACTTGCATTCAAATTATAAGTAAACACAATCAGCTTTTTTTCACACTGACAATGCCAGTGCATTGTCCTTTCAAATGGACCGGCAGGCGCGTAGCAAGCCAATTTTTTCGTGTAAACCCGATAGATTGCAAAGCTTTATATTTATATAGTATGGAGGCTTGCCCAACCTCTTTAGCAACAATCATGTGTAAGCCCGGCTTTATTTTTGATAATGGTAACTACGCCCCTGACCAGTAGATCTAAACAAATTGAAGTAAGCCCCTGGTCTACGTACATGCATATTGCATGTATCTCGGCGCCTACTGGCACTTTATCAAAGTGCACCATTTTGATTGTCAATATACATATTTGAGAAGCAGCTTTTCCCTCTCATTCAGGATATCATGTCAGAGGGATGCTCATCTAGGATGTGGGCCATGGCATAATACAGCCGGGTAATGAGCGACCCTGTCGTCGAAGGCACCACAGTTCCATGTGAAACGTTACGTCCTTTGCCATGCCAGAAACCTAGCTATGACTGTGGGTTCGAATCCCTATTCGCACCGATTGCGTGTTTAGGCCTATTGGCACCATAAAGCGGCGTTAAAACCAAACTTACTCACTCACTCTCTCATACACGCATAAGAAGTAAACAATGGCCAAAGAACACCAATTATTGAAACGCATATCTATGTTAAAACTGCACTAAGCATTGCTTGTTGTCTCTATGAACGTGCCCTTCTTGCTGTCAGTTTTTGCCCTGATCTATCCCCTGGGTTTAGGATCCCGTTTAGGATGTTTCGTCTCGCCTACGTACGATATCAAGCAGCTGTGAGTGTGATGCTGCCTGGTGGGTGTGACGCGGTACGTGGTCCCGCGAACTCTACACACTGTAAACACCTTCACCTATCTACACCTCCGCTTCTTTGTCGATCTTCCGTAGTTTTTCAAGTTGCCTTTCACGTTTCTATTTCTTCATCCCGTAAACAGAAAGTCCCTCAGACGCGTCACCATCCGTTCTCTGTGTACCTATAAAAACATGCTTCACATCCATGCATTTGGCGCCTTGCTGCTCTGTCGGTGTCACTGTCAACTAATATCGTCAAAAGTTTCCGCCGTAAGAGCGCCAGCCTCACTTCTTTCGCTCCTTTCGGTCAGTATTTGCAGACAGCTAGCAACATTGCAGAAAGACACTCCAGATTAAAGGTTCCACTTTTGCCCAACTCAAACAAGCGTCGTCTGCTCGGAAGGCTTGAACGGACATAGGTGGCGCTGAAGTAAGGGAGGTTACTCAGGGTTTAAACGGGGTAAAACAAATAGGATATCAGTAGGTACTGTTTATAAGTACGACGCGTTTTGACGCTGGTCCGTTTTGAACTTAATATCACAAAGTTGAGACTCTCGAGTGAAAACGGGACTCAAGTCAGCGTAACGCTTGATAAATTGATCATTCCAGCCGAGTGCACGAAAACCGGAGTATCGATCTCTAGTACTGGAGGTCCCGAGATTCCAAGTGTCACTTAGCACATCGTATCAGGAACAAGGGTATTGATGTATGTTTTCACATTCTGATGCTAAACTTTCTTACAAAGGCAGCCTTCAGAGTCCTTCGCGTGGAATCCAGACATTACTGTATTGCTAACCACTTATACAAGGTAAGTTATATAATATGCGACTGGCACGTTCTCTGTCCCAGAACGTCACGTGCCATCGAACGCCTGTACTGTAGCAAATCTGTCGTATATTTTCCTAATTTTTCACGATTAGTGTACGATTCTCAGAGTCTACCAAATATTCCCAGTGGCCTCATCATGCCAGACAGTATCTGTGTAGTTTGAAATGCAGTTGTGTTTTAATTTGTAATCTAAGTCCTAACCTAGTCCAGCATGTATAACTAGAGTAGAGGACTTTGCTCTATACCAAGGTGTGCTCGGGCATGGCCTGGAATACGAGGTTATTTATCAGTCATTCTCAGTTAAGTTGTACAAATGCTGTCGGACTGGTTACAGGCCCCGCTATCCATACCGTGAAACCGTTTTTCCTATGAAATCGACAGTATTCAATAGTCAGATGTAATAGAAATTTTTGGTAAACTACAATAGTCACAAACATTTGAGAAAATATTTGAAACTGACTGTTTCTTTACAGTTGGTTATGATTTTCTTGCTGTCGGCAAAGCATATTGCCGTCAATGATTCTCTTCTAGATAATACTAATTACTTACAAGTCAACGTAATAAACCCAAATAATGAAATTTCAAAGTGTGCTTTTATATTTAAGAACATACAAATCAAGAATGAGAAAGAAACAAAAAGAATTTTTTGTTTTAATTTTGTCGGTAGAAGTAACGTAATTTACGTTATGGTAACTGATGTACATAACATTTACTACATATATACAAGTTTAGCAAGTAAAATGGGTTGTATTCTATGCCGAACACAATATTGCTTGCAAAACAAATGTCAACTGATCAACAAGTAAAATTAATAGAACGAACTAATCCATTTTATCTTCAGTTATTGGAACGATTTTTAAGGATGTAATCCCAATGCGGACGGTCACAGTAAAATAAGTCTCATGGGAATCGATGCTGGCCCTGATCCATTTACATGGATAGCATAACCGTGTATGTTTCCAAACATTAAATCACCAAAACGGAGTAATGTGGCCCTCATCCTGGAATTTAATATAAGGATGTAATTTACGTTTTGTAATTTACGTTTAGTAGATGTTCAGAAATCCCTAGTAAGTGCAAAAGTGCACCACAAATACCCTATACAATCACACGTTGGAAGCAGTGGTCATTTCAGCACCTCATTCGAATGTGAACTTTGATGAACCGGAGTTTCCTGATTCATCCTGAAGTAGAATAAGTTTTTTCCAATGATAAGGATGACTGTACTGTTTTGACACATGCTGTATAATAATTCCAAGTTACATTTTTGCAACATTACGATAATATATTGATTACTCAGTTTAAATACTTTCATAATTCAGACATGATTTATGAAACCCATTCTTTGCCTTCCATGCATGGCCCTGTAACGTAAATTACAAGAAGTGTGACGTAAATTACTTTTCATTGCCTCTACATTAATCTTTTCTGTATAAAGCACAGGTGTATAAAGTAAGCTGAATATTGAAAGATATTGTTTCCTATCAAGTGATAAAGCAGTAAACCTGTGATTGGATCGCGGAGATTTAAATTTAAAGATGTAAACAGAACTAATTTCAGTGTTTGATTATTTATTGATGTAGTTCTTTATATGATACTTGTGAAACTGCACACAATGATGATAATACTTAAAAACATGCATGTTTTATCCTTAAACAAATGGCTATTGGGATACTCTTCAAAGTAGTGATGTTATTTGCATGCATTCATAATAAAGCATTTATGAAGTCTAATATTAACTGTTAACGTAAATTACATTACTTTATTTGGGATTGTGTGGAAAGTGGTATTATGTTAAATGATGGAATCTATACATTATTGCTTGAATTGTGGTCATCTATTACAGATATTATAGCTAATTCTCAAGCAGAGAAAGAAAGAGAATACAGAGAACGGGAAAATCAGAATTGGGAAACAAATGGAATAGGAAAGAATTGGAACGTGTTAAAAGTATTATAAGCAGACCAGTACACTGTTTAGAGCTGAAAAAAGAAAAATTAACCTTTAGCGAAAAGAAACAAAAAGAAATGTCAGAAAATATGGAGAAAATGTAAAAGGCATTCTAGCTACTATGACCCAGAATGAAGCGACTGCAGAAGTTGTTCTACGGGAGCCTGTAGTGACTAAAAGGTCTGATGAGAATGGTGTTTCCAGTACAACACACGGACCAGTGATTTTAAGCTACCTGCTTTTATTCATATACAAGTTTCTGTGTTTTATACGCTCATATATCGCCAAATGTTCTTCGAAAACCTCTGCTTTGGTCCTTGCTTATGATAGTATAACCAATGACCATTTATATTTAAAGTTGCAATTGTTGACTGGTAATTTACGTGACACTGGTATTTTGATCAGGGTCTAATGTTCAAGGTCAGGTTAACCAAAAGTTGTTGGTTTCATTAATTAGTTGTCAATTTGAAAAAAAACAACTTCTAAATATAGGCATTTAAGAGTTGCACCTTTTGTCATTTGGTATTGTTTATTTGTATCAAAATTAATGAAACATTGTAATTTACGTCACTCAAAAAGAATGCGTTGTTATCCAGATGACTGTTAAGATCGTTTGGACCAGCATGTGAGATTATGCGAGACAATACAGTATCACAAGGACAGGTGATAATCAAATATGAAACGCAGCAATTCTGTTTTAGCATTATCGATGAGAAAGCGTATCAGTTTTAACAATGTCATTTCCTTTCATACCCAGTATAAAAAAATCTGAAATAATAAAGTACATGCCCGGATGTTCATATTGCTTTTCCACATAGATGACATGTGAAACTGTCTATCTTATTCTGCTGTTTTTGAAAATATCACTGTATTGCTAGTTGAAAGGCAGCTGGTCATTGTGGCTTGGGTGTCGGCACGTAAGTTTCATTGTAACTTCAGGGTACAGTAGTATAAAGAGCTGTTGCAGGGTAATTGTCTGTGCCTGAGTGTTGAATATTTAGTAACAGGTTCTCTAATGCTTGTACTTCATGAAAAGTAATGCAATATACCGAACATGAAACATTTTTTTCCCGCGAGTTTCCACTGGCAATTGTACATTTTAACTGAGAATGGCTGTTATATGAACTAGCTCAAAACTGGTCAAAGTAGTCTTGCCAATTTGATCATCAAGGCATATTTCTCTGCCTCTAGTTCGAAACAGACGAATGAGAAATAAGATTTGAAAACACAAAAAAACAAGTATTACGCTTTATACTCAATATGTATTCATCATCACTAAGTTTCGATCACATGCTATAGATTTTATAACTTCTTTATTATTTACAACACGACATAGCCCAGAAATGTTGTGGTGTGAATTATTAAGAAGTTGTAAATTCATACCATGCGTTGTTATGTTATCGTCCAACTTCAAATGCCAATCAAGAATCAGGAAGTGTATCGCCAGAAAAATTGATCTTTGAAATTCGTTGTCATTACTCTTAGCATAAAGTCTTTTACCGAATTTTGTAAGTGATACATATAAAAGATGAAAATTTATAGATGTCAACTTTTTTATATGAGGAGCACAACGATTCATTTCATCTGGTGAATATATGATGAAGTGTTACAATATACTCCCAAACATCATACACCTCATAATAAAGAAGTTGGCATCCATAAATTGCCCCCTTTTGTTTGTGTGAACACACTTGAAGGGTGTCCTCCCATTATGCAGACAGGATTATAGCCCAGGAAAGCCACATTTATGAAAAGCAGAGTTGAAAATGGTGTGGCTCAATTCACAATGGGCATGGTTGAGTGATTGTATGAATGTGTCTCTCCTGGCAATGCGCTAATAGCTAATCCATGTTACAATAATTAGTGGGTATCTAATATTGAAATATTCATTATGTAAAATTCATTGACTTGTTATGCTTTTGTGCAATAAGATATCTATGTCAATGCCATAGTTCACTAAGTTCAATTTTCATTGACTTGAACAGTTCCCCAACTTGGTCTGTGTACTAAATGTGGGGGAGTTCTGGTTCTTCAGAGATCTGATATGTGAATCCATATTCTTATATTTCTTCTTTCTGGTTGGGGAGGTCCAGTGAGCTGACAATCTGAGGATGAATACTTCTGTTTGAGACTGCTCACGTTGAAACAAGGAGATGATCTCAAAGATGTTGGGGTTGCACTTATTGCACAGCCTGTTGATCTTGATGTGCCAACCCTCAAGATGATTATGAATTTAAGAAAGTGTAATCCCAAATCTAACATGTTACATTTGAGCACTTTCTAAATGGCATTGTGTGTTCATAGTTTTCGGCTGTGGGAGCCAAGCCAATTTACACTTATATAGAGGGGTACACAAAGTCCGCAGTCTAGACTACAAGTTGTCCGACTTCAATATTTGTGGATACCGCAGTGGCTGAGTAGGTTAAACGGCTGACTTTGTGTGCTGGCGATTAGGTGCCTGACGCTGAGGGTGTGGGTTCGATTCCCGGATGGGTCTCAACCCCCAAAAGTACTAGGATCTGTACTTTACTAAGTAATCCCAAATATAACATGTGTTACTCAAGATGATTGTTTGTAGTAGTGCTGTAACGATGCATCAAACTGTCGATGGATTGCAGGGGTGGAAATAACCCATTGCCCGACGTCCGAGTCCAGTGTTTTTTCTGTCGGGCAAGCAAATTTGTATATCACACTGTACCGGTGTCCAGTTGACTTTCCAATGTTAATTATGTTGTTTATTTAAAAAAATCAACAGGAAAACGGTCGGTATAGTGGAAACATTATCAGTGCAAGTGACATTACACGTGCCACTGTACCGGAGTACACTAGCAATTTTAAAGTTATTTCCACCCCTGGATTGCAATTCTTGAGTCTCTGATAGCAATTAATTGATGGAACAAATGAAAAACTATCATTGCATAAGTATGACTATCGATAGTTTAATAATTAAGATAATACAATCATAATAAAAACACAAGAAGAAAAAACTGAAGCTATATTATTTACTTTGAAAGATGTCCGAAAAGACATTAACTTGAATTTAAAAACAGTTGATTTTCATAAACATTTTGGTATAACCTCGTCTAACGGGAGTTGGCACCATCAAATTGAAAACATTGTCAAAAAGACATCTAAAATGATTGGAGCATTTCAGAAGTTAAAGTTTCTACTAAATAGAACAACATTCAGTTTTTCTCCAGGAATTATTTCCACTTGTAGTAGGCAACCAGACAAGTTATGAGTTAGAAACTCCAATAATTTTAGTCAACCATGTACAAGACTGAGGTACTCAACATCATCTTTTATTCCATCAGCAGTTAAAGTGTGGAATGATATTCCCTTAGCTATAAGAAATAGTGACTCTGTTGCATCATTTAAATCTTATATCCATGTGGAAGAAAAATGTGCACCTAAATATCATTCATATGGAATACATTAATGAAGTTAAATGTTTTGCACACAAAATTAAGATATAAGATGAGTACACTTAATTGATTGATTAAGAATAAATATTTAAAAAATGACGCATCATGTCTGTGTGGCCATGGATGTGGAAATGTTTTTCATTATTTCCTTGAATGTCCATTGTATACTATTCAAAGACAGAAACTGTTACAATCTTTAGAAGGTATTGTTAAAATTAGAACGCTGATTGGTATTAATCGTATCATACATGGCAATGCAGGTCTCTCAGTTACTGAAAATCAGAATGTTTGCAAATGTGTACATATCTATGTCTTTCAAACAAAACGTTTTCTCAGTTAACTTCTGTTGTACACATCCTATTATTGGGAGAGGGTTTTTCTAAGTTGGATAACTTGTGCCCAATCCTTTTCTTGAATGAATAAAAGCCGTGTTGGGATGCTATGAATGCCGTTTTGTACGCTCGGCGACCATTCTCATGCGCTGTTGTAGCTGATATGCGAGTTTTGTTTCCATTTCAAACGATTTGTCTTCCGTTACAGATGTATTGTTTCGGTTTTAGAGGATATTGTTGCAGTTTTTGGTGATTTTTGTTCTGTTTTGGTGTATATGAGTTCAGTTTTGATGATTTGTTGACCGTTTGTATGGTAGGCCTGTTTTTAGTTCAATCTCTGTCAATCAACTGTCTGTCAAATGGGTGTCTGTCAGTTGGGAGATAACCACATGAAACTCTCTGTATTAATTACTAATTAAAAGAATGCTTGTGTCCCTTACTCCACCTTTATTGTTTAAAATGTTAAGTTACTTTTATTGAGGTTACACATTGACTTCTTTGATGGGCATTTTAGAAGTTGAGGTGATGAAGAATGATGGTAATTTGTTTTTTGGTTTTTTGTTTGTTGTAATAGGTGCAGCCATAATATGGACAGTGGTATACAACTAGTAGGAGCAACCTGTCAGCCTACTGAAACTTGACTTATTAAGTTTGACTTATATTGCAGATGACTGACAGTTCATCTAACACACAGGAAACTGACTCTTCCCAATACTCTGTGCTAAATGTCAATGACTGGTCTGAGAACTGGCAAGCTGGAAAAATCGGCTTTCACAAAGACATTGAACACCCGTAAGTAGTAGTTAAGTATGGTGGGTGAGTAGATATTGGTTCAGGATGGTTAAAGAAAGTTGTTTATAGTATATGATCTTTGGTGTAGCAATCTGTGTATATCTCCTCAAAAAGACCTTGGTTTTAGAAAGCTGTGTATATAGCCCCTGTGTATAATCCTTGGTTTAGGAATCCTTTATAAAGCAAATGAATATGATCCTAGGTTTAGGAATCCCTTTATATAGCCTATGTATATGATCCTGGGCTTAGGAATCCCTATTTATAGCCCATGTGTATATGTGATCTTGGGATTAGGAATCTATCTTTATATGATCCTGGAGTTTAGGAATGTGTGTATTGATCTTGGGATTAGGATATCCTTTATATAGTGTGTATGATGGGTTTAGAATCCCTTTATATAGCCTATGTATATGATCCTGGGTTTAGGAATCCCTTTATATAGCCTATGTATATGATCCTGGGTTTAGGAATCCCTTTATATAGCCTATGTATATGATCCTGGGTTTAGGAATCCCTTTATATAGCCTATGTATATGATCCTGGGTTTAGGAATCCCTTTATATAGCCCTATGTATATGATCCTTGGGTTTAGGAATCCCTTTATATAGCCCATGTATATGATCCTGGGTTTAGGAATCCCTTTATATAGCCCATGTATATGATCCTGGGTTTAGGAATCCCTTTTATAGCCCATGTATATGATCCTGGGTTTAGGAATCCCTTTATATAGCCCATGTGTATGATCCTGGGTTTAGGAATCCCTTTATATAGCCCATGTATATGATCCTGGGTTTAGGAATCCCTTTATATAGCCTATGTATATGATCCTGGGTTAAGGAATCCCTTTATTTAGCCTATGTATATGATCCTGGGTTAAGGAATCCCTTTATATAGCCTATGTATATGATCCTGGGTTTAGGAATCCCTTTTTATAGCCCCTGTGTATGATCTTGGGTTTAGGAATCCCTTTTTATAGCCCATGTATATGATCCTGGGTTTAGGAATCCCTTTATATAGCCCCTGTGTATGATCCTGGGTTTAGGAATCCCTTTTTATAGCCCATGTGTATATGATCCTTTTATAGGGTTTAGGAATCCCTTTGTATAGCCATGTATATGATCCTGGGTTTAGGAATCCCTTTATATAGCCCATGTATATGATCTTGGGTTTAGGAATCCCTTTGTATAGCCCATGTATATGATCCTAGGTTTAGGAATCCCTTTATATATCCACTGTATATGATCCTGGGTTAAGGAATCCCTTTATATAGCCTATGTATATGATCCTGGGTTTAGGAATCCCTTTTTATAGCCCCTGTGTATGATCTTGGGTTTAGGAATCCCTTTTTATAGCCCATGTATATGATCCTGGGTTTAGGAATCCCTTTATATAGCCCCTGTGTATGATCCTGGGTTTAGGAATCCCTTTTTATAGCCCATGTATATGATCCTGGGTTTAGGAATCCCTTTTGTATAGCCCATGTATATGATCCTGGGTTTAGGAATCCCTTTATATAGCCCATGTATATGATCTTGGGTTTAGGAATCCCTTTGTATAGCCCATGTATATGATCCTAGGTTTAGGAATCCCTTTATATATCCACTGTATATGATCCTGGGTTTAGGAATCCCTTTATATAGCCCCTGTGTATGATCTTGGGTTTAGGAATCCCTTTATATAGCCCATGTATATGATCCTAGGTTTAGGAATCCCTTTATATAGCCCATGTATATGATCCTGGGTTAGGAATTCCTTTATATAGCCCATGTATAATCCTAGGTTTAGGAATCCCTTTATATATCCACTGTATATGATCCTAGGTTTAGGAATCCCTTTATATAGCCCATGTATATGATCCTAGGTTTAGGAATCCCTTTATATAGCCCATGTATATGATCCTGGGTTTAGGAATCCCTTTATATAGCCCATGTATATGATCCTGGGTTTAGGAATCCCTTTATATAGCCTATGTATATGATCCTGGGTTTAGGAATCCCTTTACACTTGTTCTGGAGTATGTTGTGTTAAACACGGTACAATAAACAGCTAAATAATCAATGATAATCTCTTTATAAATTACTATATGGCTTTTAACCATTTTGTTGTAAAGACACACGCATTAAAACTAACACAAGTGGCGCCAGTGCATTCACTAGGATTTCATCAGTGATTCATATCATATATCATTCCAGCCTTCTCGTGAAGTATGCTGATAAGCTGACTGGTGGGAAATCTGCACAGAAGATTCTTATACCTTTGTGTGGCAAATCTATGGACATAAAATGGTTTGTATCTAAATTTGAATGGCTTCATAGAAATGGTGAGATCCATGACCTGATGGATCAGATAATGAAAAGATTCCAGATTTCATTCCCAACTTTTAATACCATATTTCCCTATTACAATATAAGTCAATATAAATGTAAACAATCGAGTCTTGACCAATCAGGGATCAACAGCATGAGCATCGATCTACACAATTGGGATATGATGACATGTGTCAACCCAGTCAGCGAATCTGACCATCTGATCCTGTTAGTCGCCTCTTACGACAAGCATGGGTTACTGAAGATCAATTCTAACCCAGGCCTTCATGGGTCTATTACAATATAAGAGGCTCGCAGACAACAAGTATCAAGTGACACTGTGCATTTCAGCAACTGGCCTAGGAATGTTGCATGTTGCTTCAGTTGCTGACAACAAAAACATCTCGTTTGATTGGTATTTAGGATGTTAAGGGATTTAAGTGATTGGAAAGTTTCTGTATAGATTCTGACACATTTAAAATACATGATAAGAATCCTCACCAAAGCATTGCAATAAACAAGAAGTTGTCATACGCCGTAATCTTTATCTCTGCATAAGAAACATTGTGTGACATTCAGCAAGTTTCATATTGGATAATTGTGATTGATGTAACAAGTCCACAGTTTCCTACTACAGCCTCGTCTCGATATGGCTGAAATATTGCCGATGTAACATTAAATCTTAACTCACTCACTCACTCCTACTACAGCCATGACCATAACACAAGATGAGAAGTTAGGTATTGTGCATGCAAAGTGAAGTAATTGTAATTTAATGTAAAACTGACAATTCTGTTATCCCCTGAACAATAGTCTCGACAGTGTTGTGGTCCCATGTGGCCGTCTCAGCGTGCTGTAGTAGATGGAATGTTGCAGGGTGACCGTCTCAGCGTGCTGTAGTAGATGGAATGTTGCAGGGTGACCGTCTCAGTGTGCTGTAGTAGATGGAATGTTGCAGGGTGACCGTCTCAGTGTGCTGTAGTAGATGGAATGTTGCAGGGTGACCGTCCGTGCTGGAATGTTGCATGCTGTAGTAGATGGAATGTTGCAGGGTGGTCAGCATGCTGTAGTAGATGGAATGTTGCAGGGTGACCTCAGCGTGCTGTAGTAGATGGAATGTTGCAGGGTGACCGTCTCCAGCGTGCTGTAGTAGATGGAATGTTGCAGGGTGACCGTCTCAGTGTGCTGTAGTAGATGGAATGTTGCAGGGTGACCCGTCTTGCTGTAGTAGATGGAATGTTCCTCAGTGCGCTGTAGTAGAGGGTGCAGGACCGTCTCAGCGTGCTGTAGTAGATGGAATGTTGCAGGGGACCGTCCGCCATGTGCTGTAGTAGATGGAATGTTGCAGGGTGACCGTCTCAGCGTGCTGTAGTAGATGGAATGTTGCAGGGTGACCGTCTCAGCGTGCTGTAGTAGATGGAATGTTGCAGGGTGGCCTCAGTGCTGTAGTAGGTGGAATGCTGTAGTAGATGGAATGTTGCAGGGTGACCGTCTCAGCGTGCTGTAGTAGATGGAATGTTGCAGGGTGACCGTCTCAAAGTGCTGTAGTAGATGGAATGTTGCAGGGTGACCGAGCGTGCTGTAGTAGATGGAATGTTGCAGGGTGACGCGTCTCCGTGCTGTAGTAGATGGAATGTTGCAGGGTGACCGTCTCAGCGTGCTGTAGTAGATGGAATGTTGCAGGGATGGACCGTCTCAGCGTGCTGTAGTAGATGGAATGTTGCAGGGTGACCGTCTCAGTGTGCTGTAGTAGATGGAATGTTGCAGGGTGACCCGTCTCAGCGTGCTGTAGTAGATGGAATGTTGCAGGGTGACCGTCTCCAGCGTGCTGCAGGGTGACCATCTCAGCGTGCTGTAGTAGATGGAATGTTGCAGGGTGACCGTCTCAGTGTGCTGTAGTAGATGGAATGTTGCAGGGTGACCGTCTCAGCGTGCTGTAGTAGATGGAATGTTGCAGGGTGACCGTCTCAGCGTGCTGTAGTAGATGGAATGTTGCAGGGTGACCGTCTCAGCGTGCTGTAGTAGATGGAATGTTGCAGGGTGACCGTCTCAGCGTGCTGTAGTAGATGGAATGTTGCAGGGTGACCGTCTCAGTGTGCTGTAGTAGATGGAATGTTGCAGGGTGACCGTCTCAGCGTGCTGTAGTAGATGGAATGTTGCAGGGTGACCGTCTCAGTGTGCTGTAGTAGATGGAATGTTGCAGGGTGACCGTCTCAGTGTGCTGTAGTAGATGGAATGTTGCAGGGTGACCGTCTCAGTGTGCTGTAGTAGATGGAATGTTGCAGGGTGACCGTCTCAGCGTGCTGTAGTAGATGGAATGTTGCAGGGTGACCGTCTCAGCGTGCTGTAGTAGATGGAATGTTGCAGGGTGACCATCTCAGCGTGCTGTAGTAGATGGAATGTTGCAGGGTGACCGTCTCAGCGTGCTGTAGTAGATGGAATGTTGCAGGGTGATCGTCTCAGCGTGCTGTAGTAGATGGAATGTTGCAGGATTGCTGACCAGGGACATACTGTCGTCGGCGTCGAGGCCGTAGAGCAGGCAGTGCTGGAGTTCTTCACTGAGCAAAACATAGAGTACAGCAAGGAAACCCTTACAGACATTCCAGGAGATGTATACAAGGTAGGTAGAAGAGTAACTTACTCGTGAAGATCCAGGTTAGAATTAGTCTGCATCAACCCATGCTTGTCGTAAGAGGCTTCTAACGTGTCAGGCTTGTTGACTTGGTTGACACATGTGTCATCGTATCCTAAATGCATAGATCAATGCTCATGCTGTTGATCACTGGGTTATCTGGTCTAGACTCGATTATTTCAGACCGCTGCCATATAGCTGGAATATTGCTGAGTGTGGCGTAAATCAACCAAACTTCCTCTGGTTTGTCTGTTTGTTGTCAGCGAGCCTGACCACCCGATCCCTTTAGTCGCCTCTTACGACAAGCATGGGTTACTGAAGAGCAGTTCTATCCCGGATCTTCTCGGTTTTCCCCAGAGTAAGTAGCACAATGAGACATGAGAGGAGTTATACAAGGTAGGCAGGGAGCTAGCTGGACAGTCCGACATGAGTGGTCATATCTGATTAGGTAAACATGCACTTTTAGATTCACCAGATGAGCAAGGCACAATATTGACTTTCACAAAGGTCATACCAGAATAGGAGAACACTGGAGTTATCCCCCTTTGTTCATCCCACCATTTAGCTATTGCTCTTTGCACCAGCTTCATGCAGTGTTCATGGTCATAATAAGTAGCTTGCTTGTCTAATGGGAGGTATTGTCACACAATAAGCATCTCTGGTAGTGACCAAGTTAGATCACTTCCAAGGGCAACTGCATTTTTCAGTGTTTACTGGCAGTTCTAGATGGTTTCATTCAAGTATTTTTCCTATGACTGGGTGGGTAGTTCTCTTGATTGATTAGCTTTATTAAACTTTATAATTTACTGTTGGAATCTGTCCTGAGCATATAATTTTTTACACAATTTATTCTTTTTGTGTAAAAGTGTAAATGAGCCTTAAAAAATAATTGTTCTCTGTGTATGTGTGTATGCGTCTTTGTTCATGGTAATTGTATTTGTTTCATTAAATAACAGGAGTCTTGACATAGGGAGGGAAAATATAGTGTTTCATGTCCATCTGCTAATAAAGGATGCAGATAAAGTTGGGAAACAGATATTTATACACATGTGAGAACAACAATAAGGCGGACGAAGAGTTTGATTTAACCGTGAAGATCAGGGTTGAATTGGTCTTCAGTAACTTATGCTTGTCGTATGAGACAACTATCGGGATTGGGTGGTCAGACTCGCTGAATTGGTTCACACATGTCATCGTATCACGATGCTCATGCTGTTGATCACTGGATTGTCTGGTCCAGACTTGATTATCTTCAGACCGCCACCATATAGCTGGGATATTGCAGAGTGCAGCGTTAAACAACAAACCAACCAACTATGATTTTGTTTTGAATTAGTCATCCCTCGCAATAACGCTCTTTGCAGTACCGTAGATTCGGTTCAACTGTGGGGTAAAGGATGGCTCCTCAAAAGTTGTGATTACATGTTGCGTAATGAGATTAGAGCGATGATCTAATAATCTGTCTATTACAACGAGTGTTCTCCATATCAAATTGGGTAACCTCCCAAAACTTCGACAGCCATATCTTAGACAGCTTAAAATAACAACAGCAGTGCACTAATCCTTAATGCTTGACAAGGGTACAAGAATCTGTATCGAAACGTCGCACTCACGAATAAAAAGAAGTTGTTATCCTTAAAGTTTGTTCCATATTAAACATAACCTTATGTTGCTGCATTATCTTTTGTTTGAATAAAATTAATGAGTTCCGCTGTTTGAACTTTCAAAACTAATTTGACCATCACACATGCCGTGTGTTGTCATTGAAGTAACAGCATAGCGGATTTGTGTTCAGTCTTCATCTGGAGTGGAGTCCGGACAATAACCGGGAAATAATCAGAATCAACCAAGAATTTAAAAAAACAAACATTCTCAGCACAGACAGACTGAAACAAAGCACCTCGTAACAGTTTAAATCAAACTATAATTGCATTCAAAGTAGGGGTGAGTGCTGAAAATATTGTCAGTATAAGAGTTCAGGTTGCAGTTGTTTTCTACCACACATGAATTTCATCATAGCATCTGCAAAAAGCAAAAGTCAAGCTTATACTGTTGCGATAAAATTGGCCCTGTATGTTACAGAATGTGAATCATTACACTGATTACAGGGATAGAAATGCCACATACTGTGAGAATGAGAGTGCCACTGATTAACAGTTGGGTGGGGTGCAGAAATAGGTTTTGAATCATTTTAGTAGGTCAAATTTCATCGCATTTTCCAATGAATGAATACTGATGTGTGCCATTAGGGCACATCAAAATATTTCATCCATGCCATTTCAATATATACCATGCCATGATATGCAAATGAAGCACTATTTTGATCCCTGCATTTGAATCTCAGATGCCTAGGAATGTAATAATATTAGTGCTGGAGTCTTTGAGCGAATCACGTTTATCAATGAGCTAGGAATACTAAGCAACATCAAGTTAACTTTAGAAAGTAGGGTTCTTTTTCTTTCTTAGATCAACAGATAGGCAATCTTAAGACTGCAACGTAAACAACATACTCGCGTGCGTGTCTCAACAAGAAACATCCTCAGTCGTCTTGAACCCTGTTGTGTTTGTAAGATGTTATGATTGTGCCTCGATATCACCCACATGAGTTTTTTGGTGGGGTTTACGATTAAAACCGATTATTGATCGATTGCTGATTAATCACTGAGCTCTGATTATCGATCTGCATATTGTGAGTGATAACCAGAAATAGTAATAATTCTTTCATCCCCAGGAACAAAGCAAAACCCACTCTATGGCCAGACTAGAGGTGTGAAAATATGGTGAGGCACAATATGGTGTGGTATCCTGATAAATTGCTTGCAATACGATTGGTATCCCAATAGAGCACTTGTATTTCACAAGTTCATATACTCTCAGTACAGAGCCGCATTTTTACACCACTAGTGTTGACATGTCTCTTAATTTGTGGGAAATGCAGTGTTCACGAATAGCTTCAGACCCTCAGACAAATCATTACACCACTAGTGTTGACATGTCTCTTAATTTGTGGGAAATGCAGTGTTCACGAATAGCTTCAGACCCTCAGACAAATCCGTCAGATTCGCTGACGGTCAGATGGAAGTCGACAGCTTGCCGGCCCCAGTGACCGACTGTAAATTTCACAAAGACTTTGACTGAAGTTGTTTTATGTGACATGTGACACTTGTTTCCTGTTTATAAATTGTATGCTTTTTAATCATTTCAATGCCAGTTACACTGACTGAGTTTAGTTTTACGCCGCTTTTAGCAATATTCCAGCAATATCACGGCGGGGGACACCAGAAATGGGCTTAACACATTGTGCCCATGTGGGGAATCGAACCAGTTACAAGACATGTTAAATCTGAAATGTTCTTCTGTGGGTCCTGTGAATTTTCAGTGGGTCAGACAGACATCTGAATCTTACAAGATCCAACGTCCTGTTACTTTGAAACACCATTCGTGAACACTGGAAATGTGACATCATTGTGTCTGTCATTGTCTCGGTCATTGTCTCGGTCATTGTACTAGTTTAGTTATCACACATGTATCATGGTATCTTAATGACCGATGTCCATCTTATATGGACATGAGAGTGGATCAAACTGAGCTACTCAGTGAGAGGAGGTTGATCCTTTCTTGTCATGTTTGTGGCAGTTTCATGAAATACATTGTAAGTGGATCATTTACAAGAGGTTTACAGCAAATATGTTCAGAAATTCATCGCACACAGATGATGCAGTAGAATTGGTGATTGAATGGATATGGAACAGCCAGTGTCCTTCAACACACCCCTAGCATGAAAGTGTGACTGACTTTAGTTCACAAGGCTTTTTCTGTCAAAATTTAACATTTTCTTTCAGAGTAGTGATGGCCGGATCAGTGTGTACAGATGCGATGTGTTTGACTTCAACAGGTATGTGGCTATGAAATAATCTACCTTTAAACTAACGTGTGTTGAATTCAGCTTGCAAAGTCTGTAGAATCTCCTGAGCTGATGCAGTTAGAAATTACTGAACAGAGATGTGATTCTCTATTATTGATGTTGATATTTGAGTTTAGTCTGGGGTTGTGTGAACTCAGTACCTTCATGACCTGTCCCACATCGCCAACCTGTCCCACTGCCCTATCTTCCCTACTGACACAAAGAAGACACCAACTACTGTTTACAGCAGCTGTAAACCCATCAGTCACCCAAGTTGAGTTTAATACAAGGGCTATGATCAGGGCGATAGCCACTGACTGAGACACTTGGCTCGGAATCTTCAGCTGTTAGATTACTTTGCAAAATAACATTAGAGATAGCAGTGAATGAGTATAGTTTTACGCCTCTTTCAGCAATATTCCAGCAATATCACGGCGGGGGACACCGGAAATGGGTTTCACACGTTGTACCCATGTTGGGCATCATACCCGGGTCTTCCGTGTATTGAGTGGATGTTTAAAACATTAGACTACCCCACTGTCCCTAGAGATAACAGGGCCCTTGAAGATCTGGGTTAGAATTGATCTTCAGTAACACATGCTTGTCGTAAGAGGCGACTAACGGGATCGGATGGTCAGGCTCGTTGGCTTGGTTGAGACATATCACTGTATCCCAGTTGCGTAGATCGATGCTCATGCTGTTGATCACTGGATTGTCTGCTCCAGACTCGATTATTTACAGACCGCTGCCATATAGCTGAAATATTGGTGAGTGTGGTGTAAAACTCACTCACTCACTCACTCAAGAAATTGCTTTGAAAAAACAATACTCGCTGCAAAAATCTGCCAAATCGCTTTATTTATAGATATGTTTAAATATTATGACTCAGACTTTATGTTTGATCTTAACACAAAACACAGCTCTAAGATAAGAAGATTGACACCATCCAGTGCAATAATACAACCCAAGCCCTATCCACTGTATTATCAGCAAGTCAGGAAAAAATATCTACTGGAGGGAATAGCCAAATATCTATATAAAAAAAATAAAAATAAAAATGTCTCAAAATATTACTTGTAGATCATTTCTTCAAATCACTGCATTTGAAACTGTTTAGCATGCTGAGCTCATTCACATGAAGATCACAGAGAGAAAGATAAATAATATAATAATGTGGAGGGAATTGTTGTTTCTGTCTTTAGGTTTGAATTTATTTAACCAAACAACATTATGTTTAATTTGTTCTGGATTTTATTGGTGTTTTTGAATATATATGTTTATATTCTGTATGTATATAATTGGAAACTCATTTGGTATTTTGTCAGTCTGCAGTTAAAACGTGTCTAGTATATAGGATTCTTGCGTCTGGGAAAAGTTTATTGTTTTGCAGGGGGTATTAAAATGCGCTTCGTCCGTGCGTCTGTGCACATTCATATTTTCCGGAGGCAGAACTTCAAAACTGTTCACTATTTCTTGATAGATCTGGTGGTGTATTGGTCCCTTTTGGATTTCTGTTTAAAATATTTTTTTGCATTTCCATGGCAACAAGTTCGGCTTTGACTGACTTTGGTGGTAGTGTTCTTTTCTGGAGCAGAACTGTAAAACTGTTCAATATTTCTTCTCTAAACTTGGCACATAGATTGGTCTGGTGGTGTACTGGTGCCTTTTGATGGTTTTTGATTTCTGAATAAAATATTTTTGGCGTTTCCATGGCAACGAGTTCAACTTTGATTGAATTTGGTGGTAGTGCTCTTTTCCGGAGCAGAACTTTAAAACCGTTCACTATTTCTTCACCAAACGTGGCACAAAGATAGGTCTGGTGGTGTACTGGTACCTGTTGGTAGTTTTGGAATTCTGAATATAATATTTTTTGTGTTTCCATGCTTACAAGTTTGGATTCAACTGAATTTGGTGGTAGTGCTCCTTTCTGGAACAGAACCTAAAAACCTTTCAATACTCTCCTTCCACGTTGCCATATACACACCAAAACATTTGACATCATCATAACTAGTAGACATATTCATGAAGAGTATGTTGCCATTGCTATTTATCTTCTTGTTTTATAGAGAAGCTCACATGATTATTCATAAAAAGGCATTTAACTGTATATTTCTCAACAACCATGCAGCATTTGCATGTCATATTATTTCAGGGGAACAAACAACTTGAGAATCACTTCCACAAATGTCTGAAAGTTATTATGCTGTTGATCCTTCAATTCCAATTGATGGTGTAATTGACTGTTACATGCTTCTAGAAAGACACCTGCATTATTCCATGGTTTATGGATATCTGGACACTTGCTAGCTTTTTCAATAGAACAATCTTCCACAAAAGCAGACACTTAAGTCCTTAGACAAATGTAGTGTTTTACATGTGCATCCCATATGCATATAGAATGAACTTTGAAAAAATATATTGCATCCTTCCAAGATGCACAGTAATGATCATATATCTTGACAATAAGTATTTGGTGCTGTAGGTTAAGTACAGATCAAGTCTTATAGTACAGCACATAACCCAGGTACATTACTTTACAGAGCCAGCCTAATATTTGCTGTGGAGTAGCTTAAAGTTACTGACCCGGAGAATATTGGCCTTCAGTAACCCATGCTTGTCGTAAGAGGCGACTAACGGGATCGGGTGGTCAGGCTCGCTGACTTGGTTGACACGTCATCAGTTCCCAATTGCGCAGATCGATGCTCATGCTGTTGATCCCTGGATTGTCTGCTCCAGACTCGATTATTTACAGACCGCCGCCATATAGCTGGAATATTGGTGAGTGTGGTTCAACTCACTCACTCACTTAAAGTTAATTTTGGGGTCCACTTAATGCTTACTTCTGTAGGTCAAGGGAAAACCCTACATATATCCCATTCAACTGTTGTCCACAAGTTCTGCCCCAAAGCATGTCGTTCCAATAAATGATGGACATATTTTGTTTCCATTACAGATCGTACAAGGACAAGTTTGATGCTGTGTATGACAGAGCTGCTCTGGTAGCCATCAACAGGGATGACAGGGAACGGTACGTGGCCAGCTACATAGGACTGTTACCTGCTCAGATACAGGGGCTTGTTACTAGACCAGGATCTTATACATGGAGGTGTCATTAAACCCTGCTTTAAACGTTGTACCCATCTGGGGAAATGAACCTGGGCCTTCGATGTGGCAAGCGAACACTTTCACTTCAAGTCTTCCCCACCACCCCTGTTCTTATACATGGATCTGTTATTACAATTTCTGTTAATTCATGGATATGTTACAACAATCTGTTTTCATACATGGATCTGTTAGTACAATTTGTTCAATATGTGGGGGTGCGGTGGGATAAAGTGGTTAAAGCATTTGTTCGTTAGGGTGAATACCCGGGTTTGATTCCCCAAATATCTTACAAGTGTGAAGCCCATTTCTGCTGTCCCCAGTCATGATTTTGCTGAAACATTGATAAAAGTGGCGTAAAGTGATAGTCACTCACTCTCATACATGGATCTGTTAGAAAATTTGTTCTAATACATGGATCTGTCACTACAATTTGTTCTAATACATTGATCTGTCACTACAATTTGTTCTAATACGTAGATCTGTCACTACAATTTGTTCTAATACATTGATCTGTCACTACAATTTGTTCTAATACGTAGATCTGTCACTACAATTTGTTCTAATCGTGAATCTGTCTCTACAATTTGTTCTAATTTGATCTGTCACTACAATTTGTTCTAATACATGGATCTGTCTCTACAATTTGTTCTAATACATGGATCTGTCACTACAATTTGTTCTAATATGTAGATCTGTCTCTACAATTTGTTCTAATACATGGATCTGTCACTACAATTTGTTCTAATACATAGATCTGTCACTACAATTTGTTCTAATACGTAGATCTGTCACTACAATTTGTTCTAATACATGGATCTGTCACTACAATTTGTTCTAATATGTAGATCTGTCACTACAATTTGTTCTAATACATGGATCTGTCACTACAATTTGTTGTAATACATGGATCTGTCACGAGTGTCACAGTTACTTCTAGTCCAACATATGGTGCCTTCATTAACCAAGACTAGAGTATATACAGTCACAAGGCTGCCTGTCAATGGTTCATGGACCGCGTAACTTATTTACATTCAGATATGCCACATTGATGAAGTCCTTATCAGCTCCAGGTTCCAGGATGGTCATCGTAACGGTGAACTATGATCCAGCTCTCCATCCAGGTTAGTACTTGGAGCAGTAGGTCATGCATCAAGTTCAGTAGGTCATCAGGCAGATAAACACACAAGGGGAGTAAGCTGACCACCATAAAATCTTAGCAAGGTAAGGTGACAATTCTATGGTGTCATACACTATTATCAGATACTGGGACACAACATATGCCATTCCAACCAAACAGCTGGGGAACAATGGATACTATCTCAATGTGAATCATATATGTGTGAGCAATATATGTGGTGTATTCAGTTTTAATATCAGATTTGACAAAGAAGAAAAGATTTTGTTTTTAAGGGTATCATATTAGGGAGTTTCATCCTTGTTTCTGATTTGAGCAAGGAAACATAATTTTGCCAGAAAAGCCCTCAAAAGAAATAAAAGATTCAACATTGATGCAAAATGTGTATCCAGGAATGTTGCCTTCGCTCTTCCTGGTTGTCATTAAGAAATACAGTTTGCTTTACCCCATTGTAGATTGGCTCCATGCATGCGTCCTCGTCCTAACTGTACATTATTACACTATACAAAGGGGTAGAATGAACTGTATTTCTTTTCTAAGATGCCAAATTTAATACTTAATGAGGCAAAAACACCTCAGAAAAATGACAGTGTCAATTATTGACCTAAATTAACAATCCTGCATTCAGTGCTAACTGACGTGCTGTTCTGTTGGCACGCTTCTCTCTCTCCCCCCCTCTCCCCCCCCCCCAACATTAACACTCACATTACCATGAAAACAAGTGATAAACAGTTTGAAGACGGTTTAAGATCAGGTGAAATATAATCTCTATGTAATTTGAATTAAATGTTAGATTATCGTAAACCATATGGGACATTATGACTGTTGAATTTCTACTTCCAATATAAGTTTAGATCAGTACATCGAGATGAAACTGACTGGTCACCTGACATTCCACGGATGCATTGTGGGACTGTAGACATAGTAGACTGTAGTTCCTCAGTCAGCAAATTTGCCATGTCGCTGTTTAGTTGTGAGTTGAGCTAAGAATTTTTTCTGTAAAAAAAGTGATGCGTGATGTTTTCACAAGTGATGTTAGCCGAGTGAAGCAACTGCAAGCCAAGAAACGGTGTGCTATGGAGTTAGTTGTACTGCAGGAGACAATGACAATGGCAATGACAACTGACATGCATCGTAATGTCGGTTACCAAGGGTATGTTAGATTACAAGGGGGCAGACTAGAATAGCGTAGTGACGTAGTACAAAAGTGTACTTTATCGCCTTTTTAAGTACAGTCTGCGCCATTGATCTTTTAGCAAAGCATGTTAGAATGTCCAGTCCACATATTTAATACTGTATCTAAAATGGTCTAAACCATGGTGACCCGTGAAGGTCCAGGTTAGAATATTGATCTTCTGTAACCCATGCTTGTCATAGGAGGCGACTAACGGGATTGGGTGGTCAGGTTCGCTGACTTGGTTGACATATGTCATCAGTTCCCAATCCGCAGATCGATGCTCATGCTGTTGATCACTAGATTGTCTGCTCCAGACTCGATTATTTACAGACTGCCGCCATATAGCTGGAATATTGCTGTATTGCTATCACTCACTCACTCTAAACCGTGGTTCACTCATTCTCACACACAGCTGTCTGATTCTTGGTTTTAGGTCCACCACACTATGTGGAAGAGGAATTGATTCCAAAGTTGTATGGTGAGTTGATGATGATGATGATGATGATGATGATGATGATGTATAGATGGTACCAATGTTGATTTATGTAATGTTGGTGTATGCAGATGCTGTCATGCGAGTTGTTTACAGAAGTATCTGTGAGGTTAGGCCTACAGAAGGAGAACTCTTGTATTCCTGCTGTGCTGGTGGTTTGTTCTTGAAAGATTAAGTACAGAAAATGGTTTTAATAACTGAGAGCATGAAACTTTATTAACTTTTTATCAATGAGGCTAAATGAATCTGATGCTGGATGAGTAGAAAATGCTATCTATTTACCTGGCAGGACAATTTTGGAGTGTGGCATTTTGCGAGCCGTGAATTAGTTCAGTATGTAGATCTTGTCTGTGTTACAGGTAGTCAGTACAATGTGGAGCTCTCTCTGTACTACAGGTAGTTACAATGTGGAGTCTACAGGTAGTCTGTACAATGTGGAGCTCTCTGTCTGTGTTACAGGTAGTCTGTACAATGTGGAGCTCTGTCTGTGTTACAGGTAGTCTGTACAATGTGGAGCTCTGTCTGTGTTACAGGTAGTCAGTACAATGTGGAGCTCTCTCTGTATTACAGGTAGTCTGTACAATGTGGAGCTCTGTCTGTGTTACAGGTAGTCTGTACAATGTGGAGCTCTGTCTGTCATGTCAGTACAATGTGGAGCTCTGTCTGTATTACAGGTAGTCTGTACAATGTGGAGCTCTGTCTGTGTTACAGGTAGTCTGTACAATGTGGAGCTCTCTCTGTGTTACAGGTAGTCTGTACAATGTGGAGCTCTCTCTGTGTTACAGGTAGTCTGTACAATGTGGAGCTCTGTCTGTATTACAGGTAGTCTGTACAATGTGGAGCTCTGTCTGTGTTACAGGTAGTCTGTACAATGTGGAGCTCTCTCTGTATTACAGGTAGTCTGTACAATGTGGAGCTCTGTCTGTGTTACAGGTAGTCTGTACAATGTGGAGCTCTGTCTGTGTTACAGGTAGTCTGTACAATGTGGAGCTCTGTCTGTGTTACAGGTAGTCTGTACAATGTGGAGCTCTGTCTGTATTACAGGTAGTCTGTACAATGTGGAGCTCTGTCTGTATTACAGGTAGTCTGTACAATGTGGAGCTCTGTCTGTATTACAGGTAGTCTGTACAATGTGGAGCTCTGTGTGTGTTACAGGTAGTCTGTACAATGTGGAGCTCTGTCTGTGTTACAGGTAGTCTGTACAATGTGGAGCTCTGTCTGTGTTACAGGTAGTCTGTACAATGTGGAGCTCTCTCTGTATTACAGGTAGTCTGTACAATGTGGAGCTCTGTCTGTGTTACAGGTAGTCTGTACAATGTGGAGCTCTCTCTGTGTTACAGGTAGTCAGTACAATGTGGAGCTCTCTCTGTATTACAGGTAGTCTGTACAATGTGGAGCTCTCTCTGTATTACAGGTAGTCAGTACAATGTGGAGCTCTCTGTGTTACAGGTAGTCTGTACAATGTGGAGCTCTGTCTGTGTTACAGGTAGTCTGTACAATGTGGAGCTCTCTCTGTATTACAGGTAGTCTGTACAATGTGGAGCTCTCTCTGTGTTACAGGTAGTCAGTACAATGTGGAGCTCTCTCTGTATTACAGGTAGTCTGTACAATGTGGAGCTCTGTCTCTCTGTGGAGCTCTCTGTATTACAGGTAGTCTGTACAATGTGGAGCTCTCTCTGTGTTACAGGTAGTCTGTACAATGTGGAGCCTCTCTGTATTACAGGTAGTCTGTCAATGTGGAGCTCTCTCTGTATTACAGGTAGTCTGTACAATGTGGAGCTCTGTCTGTATTACAGGTAGTCAGTACAATGTGGAGCTCTGTCTGTGTTACAGGTAGTCTGTACAATGTGGAGCTCTCTCTGTGTAACAGATAGTCTGCATAATGTGGAGCTCTCTCTATGTTACAGGTAATCGGTACAATGTAGAGATCCTTGAGCGTTCTGACAGCTTGGAGGAAAGATGGCGAGAAAAAGGACTGACCTACTTTGATGAAGTAGTCCACTTTCTCTCGGACAAATCGTAGCCGCCATGTAACCAGGAGCAGGTGACTACTCAACACAACTGGATTGTGGTGGTCATCCTACTGAACCTATTTAACCTGGATTGATCCATATTAACCAGAGGCAGTTCATGTGCATTTGTAGCTCCTTTGACACTTCAAAGGTAAACGTGGCATTAAAACTCTTGGCAGACAGACATTTTAAATAGCATAATATGCAGATGGCAGGATACACATGGTTAAAGGCATAATGAGAATGCATCCCTTGAGATATTTAAAAGGCTGTTCTTCAAACATTATATTATGTAAGAGATGGTGTGAATGTTCATTAAACAGAAATGTGTTCATATTTTCTGGGATATATCCATGTCTCAGAACCTATTCGTGAGATTGATTGAATGACTAAAGTGATATTTTTTATGATTTATTACAAAGTTATTTTGAGGCAAACCTAGTCTGGCCTGTGGTCTTGGTGTCAATAAACATGTCATACACAACCTGTTTGATAGTTGGTGGACTTTGTTGTCAGATGATGCCAGCATTGGATTCCAGGAATATCATATGTCTGGAACTGCATCACACCAGATTCCTGCCACAAACGGATTTGGTGAACTGTCCTTCCCACCCACAGTCATATTGTTACACCCATTGAGATTCTGGGTAAGAAGGGTCTCTAATAACCTGTGCTTGTTGTAAGAAGCTACTGAAAGGATAAGCCCGTCAGTGACATGTTTGATTACATGTCATAAAATCCAATTGGTCCATATTCATTTTGTGAATCACTGGATTACCTGATCCACTGTATACAGCTGGAATATTCTACACTTCAGCATAAATATCAGATCTCTTTGATTTTTTCAGCTCACTCCACATCGGATGCCTCTGAAATGTCCTAATGGTATTTGTACGTCAGTTCTCAAAGTAGGAGACCTTGTATCCCCAATTTTCTAATGATCAACATACAAACCATAACCGAAATTTTCTGACACCTTTGGGTCAGTTTGTATTTTTTGTGTTGTGTTGTATCAAGTTCCGCCCTACTATAACTTGCTTTTGAACATCTGCAAGAAGACGAATGCTGACATTTATTTAGGCAAGCACAAGTTGTTTAAATGAACAGGAAGTGTGACCTTTTGATGCTATAGCTTCTGCCAACGACACAAGTGTTATGGTCCTTTTTCCCGAGTTTAGACCTTTGGATATTTCACTTTCACAATGTTGATAACCTAATAAACAACCTTGGATGAAGCATGAACTGTTAATAGGTTTGACATATCTCATGTTTCACTAGGCCCAAAGGTCTACTAAAGGGCAGTAAAATTATTGTTTATTTATAACGCATTTCCCTTGGGAACTATAGAGCGAATCTATTACCTACTTCCTGGTTGATACACTTTTCTTCACTGGACTGACTGACTGACTGAGTTTAGTTTTACGCTGCTTTTAGCAATATTCCAGCAATATCACGGCGGGGGACACCAGAAATGGGCTTAACACATTGTGCCCATGTGGGGAATCGAACCCGGGTCTTCGGCTTGACGAGCCAACGCTTTAACCACTAGGCTACCCCACCGCCCCTTTCTTCACTGGAAATTTAGTTGCAGTGGAATGTCGACCAATGGACGAAAGATCACAGGTTTGGTTAGGTTGTGCTTTTTTATTAAACCATTTTATGTATGATTTAAAATGCTTTTGTAGAGGTTTCGGTTGCTTCTGGCATTGTTCAGTATAGGTTAAACAAGGTAACCAAGGATGCTTCACTGTAACAGTTTCAATCTGAGGGCTGAACATATGTGAATACGTAAGGTTTGGATTACACTTTCTCGGTAAATCTCAGATTCTACTACTTTTTCCACACTCTCAGACTAAGGCATCCAGCGCACAAAGTCAGCGACCTAACCCACACATGAGATGCGGCTACCACAAAATCAGAAGAAGAACTGGTAGTCAAGATTGTGTGGTTTATGTACCCCTCTGATGTGATGATTCGCATGGCAGAAAGCTACATTAGAAGTTACATTTGACCACTTACTCAAAAACGTTTTGTAATTACGGGACAGTTTTTGGCCACTGCTAATGACTATTGACATGTTCTAAGCAATGCTGTTACTTCTCGATCTGTGGTGGGGAGACTCGGATATGTCATACTGCTGAAAACCCAACTCCAAGAATTGTGTCTTAAACTGTATTTTTCAACTGCAATTAGGCTGGTTCCAAAATAGTATCGAATTCTATCCCTTTGGCAACATATTTAGGCAGTGGATCGCATGCAATCACAGCCTACAGTAAACAAGCAGTATGATGTAATTAGAGATCTAATTTCCGTACTCAGAGTAAGAGAAGTCGGACTACCCCTGTGGTCTAGTGGATTGGGTGTCTGCCCGGAAAGTGGAAGGTCATACTAAGGACTTTAAAACAAAGTGGCGTTCGGCACTAGGGGGTGAAGGAAGGGTCGGGTCGGAGTCGGTATGTACTGATTCTAAGTGGGATATCCATGTTTAACTGCGGCATGGTAAGTCAGTGGGAAAGAAGTATAACACCGGCATTAGTCGGCACAAGCAGTCACCCAAACACCCATACGTGGTCTACAATAATGAGGGCCACGACTTTCAACATCTTTTCACCTCATATGACCTCATTGTAGTAGTACAAGATACTATTTAGTTTTCAAAACAACTCGTAAGCTATCTGATGTATACAGCATGTGCAAACCGGCTCCCAGTGGTCAGAACTGGTGATAGATATTGGACGATTTTCCATGGCGAACGTGTTCTTTATCTCGCATCACTGTTTGAAGTGCAATGGGTGCTTAAAACTCGGGAAACCCAAAACATCAGGCAAGTGTCCTAGAAGCTAACATCGAAACTGTTCTTTCTCAGATCGGGTTAATGAAAGCGGACAAGTGGGTGGATTAGGAAATCTTTCTTATTCGACAGGAGATGAGAAAAACATAAATACAAACGGCTTGATATATATCTGTAAAATGAGTGGCATATCAATACATGATGTAAACATACGGCTTTCAGAACCTTAAAATATGATGAGAGGTGAGGTGTATCTGGATTTGTGCTTTCTGTGCCGTCGCAGTTTACATTGCGAATTTGCGTCCTTTAGTATTCCAGAACCGCAATATCGTGGTTGCATGTTCCAGACTCTCCTGGTTTCTGTTTGTTACCTCCGGACCTCTACTTGTGGATGTCACAAAACAGTAAACGTCTAATCTACATCACCTCGAGCTCCCCTCCCACATCATACAGTTGTGTAAAGTATTCCTCACTCTCTCACTCCATATGTTTTCATCTTCGATGTGAGAAGCAGTGGGTGTCTTTTTCGTGCTTACGTTTGGAACACTACGTTTTGGGCTGGTGGTCGAACATCCGACTGAGACCGCCACTCTGCTGACCAGTGGGAGGTGCGAGCCCTAGAAATCCTACCATCCTCGTGTAACTCTGGGAAGCTCAATGCGAGAGTATGAAGAGGTCTATGCTTGTCATCAGTTTCCACAAACATTCAGTATTCCTCTTTCCAAATTCCTCTGAATCTAAATGAGAAGTTTCTGTGATGAAACAACTGAAACGCTGTTTGAGTGTGTGTTTGTTGTTGGTTGGTATTTTTAGGGGAAGGGTGGGGGTGTTCTTTTGTTTTTCTTTTGCTTGGTGAGTGTGTGAAGCTCATTTATGGACAACTGCTGAAATCGGCATAAAACTCTATTCACTCGCTTACTTTAGTGAGCGTATTTTGTTCACACAGGTTTTGAACTTGTTTACTTGTTTTAAATCTCCATTAAATCAAACATCGTTTCGGGAAGAATGCTAGATTAATCTTTTTAGATTTGCATCACTAGTTTTTGAACGAGGATCGGGCTGCAGGGGATCAGGTGTTGCCTATTTTTTTTTTTTGCAGATGAAATGTTTTCAAATCCTATGAAAAGAAAGTCATTATCTGTATCCGGAACTTGTATTAAAAGCAACAAAAGATTCTGTTTCCTATCGGGACACTCCCACATTAATCTTATGATTTGAAAATGAGTAAATATTGAACGAACATGTATTTTGCCAGCGTCGTGCAATCAAACGGTCGGGACCACACTGACGTAACCCCTCGAACATAAATTACCCGGATGTGTGGTCATATCGCAACATCTCCTGTAAAACATCTGTATGTTTAGATTGTGTATGTAGTTGTTCGTGTTTGTTGCCTAACGCTGCACTGTATGACATTAGCCTGTAAATGTCCGGGTCTGGGCCATACAGTCTAGTGACTCGCATCAAGAACATACGAAATAGGATGACACGCATCAACCAAGTCTGCAAGCCCGACCATCCGATCAGCTTAGTTGGCCCCTTAAGACAAGCATAGGTTTCTATAGACTCTCTCTCCAAACCAGGTATTCACGAGGTCTTCAAACGTACATGATATGAAATAAACCGTTAATCTCAAGACACCAATTTTGACGTGTGAGTCGGTAAGTGACTCACATGATAGGACGAATATGGGGTACTGATGAAGATGTTTTCCCAAGGAATCTATGAGGATATAAAACATAAGGTACTGTATACCTTGAGAATCCTCACAAGGATTGGTTTGTTTAACTCCGCACTCAGCAATATTCCAACTATATGGCGGCGGTCTGTAAATAATCGAGTCTGGACCAGACAATCCAGTGATCAACAGCATGAGTATCTTACGACAAACATGGTTACTGAAGACCAATTGTAACCCGGATCTTCAGGGGTTCATCACAAGGAAGTACCTCCGTGCACTCTCGAAGTATGAAAGAGACGCCGTGCACACAGACTGATCAGTTACCCTTTCACCCGAACCAGCACGGGAACGTTTGATGCAAGTCAGAATCAGTGATTGCATCGGACAAATTGATGCGTCAAATTAGGAAATGTCGGCCATATATTCGTTTAAATGCTTTCCTAAGACCGATTGGTCTGTACACCTGATCAAACAACCTTAGAGCGAGATCACATATAAAACAATCTTTGACAACATGGACAGAGATTGTTCGATTGACCTCAAAAGTAAAATGCCGACACTATAGCAGAAATCATATTGTTGATTTAACTTGAAAGCTGGCCAGTGAAAAGTCACCCTTCTTGTCGGACAGGTGATTACATGCTCAGTAAATGAACTTGGACATAAAGTGATTTCTACAATAATTACTTCTGATGAGAGTTTTGTTTGTAGTAAAAATAAGAATGTCGTAATATTGCACGCGTTTATTCCCAGTTTTTCGTATTGCTAACTCTGAGATAAGCCATGTGATGGTTTGTCCGTCATCGTCTCAACCAGAGATGTGACGCTGTTCCCAAACTCCAGCCGCGACCTGATGTTCCGGAGTGCGTCAGCACTGTGATCTGTGTATGTGTTTTACTACAGCGGTGAACGTCTAATACCACATCACTTCTTCATTCTCGTTGCGTAGATCGATGCTCATGATCTTGATCGCTGGATTGTCTGGTCCAGACTCGATTATTTGCAGACCACCGCCATATAGCTGGAATATTGCTGAGTGCGGCGTAAAACTAAACTCACTCGCTGACTCGTCACCCTCGTATGACGTTTACACGCCGGTACATAACGGATATAGATGGATGGGTCTATCCCGAATGCGGAACGTTTGTTGTTCTATTCCCAGTCTGTGGTACTACAAGACGTTGAAATATGGTACTTCTTGTAGTATTGCAGTGGAAAGGCGTCTGGGGGCGGTGGGGTAGCCTAGTGGTTAAAGCGTTGGCTCGTCACGCCATAGACCCGGGTTCGAATCTCCACATGGGTACAATGTGTGAAGCCCATTTCTGGTGTCCCCCGCCGTAATGTTGCTGGAATATTGCTAAAAGCGGCGTAAAACCAAACTCAGTCAGTCAGTCAGTAAGGCGTCTGCCTATCACGCTGAAGGCCCGGGTTTGATCCCCGGTGGAGGCACCTAGGTTCGGGTCCCGAGGTGGGCACATTTGCGTAGTATCCTTGGACAAGATACTTAGATCCACATTGTCTCAGTTCACCCAGCTGTAAAATGGGTACCCGTGAGGATGTGCTGGCAATGTTAGTGTTAAGTTCATTGCGCCTAACAGGCAGCATGGCTGTATGATCCCCAGGGAGTTGAAAACGTACCGGAAAGTACGATAGTGTTCTATGACCGAGGATAGTAATGTACGTAGCGCCGTGAGCAGGCAATGTGCTTGGATATGAGCGCCATATAAGCGGACTATTACTATTACTATTACCTACCCTGCCTGACGCTCAGCTTATGGAAATAAAACAAGGCCCAGTCACCTCGGAGTCCGTGTTCTGTGTTCTGAGGTGTCGACCGCCAAGGCACTACATTGTACATAAGACTTAATCTTCAACGCAACGCCAACCTCTTCTCACCTCTAATTCTACTACATACTAGGGTACCTTGTGGGCATTTCGTGTGAGAATACATCACCCAACTTCCCGAATGCCTTACAGCTGTGGCTGTTGGTAATCCGGACGGCGTAAAGCGTTCACCATGCGTTAACCTCATGTACGTAGCCTCAGATATGACAGTGTATATGTTATCTTCATTACATGGCTTCAGATTTCAGATTGCGGTTAAAACAACATACATAGTGAAGTGATAGTCCGGGGTTTTACCTTGACCCACTAGGGGTCCGGAGGTGTATGGTGTAGTGTACTGGATGAGGGAGTGACTATGGTTTTACGCCGCTTTTAGCAATATTTCAGCAATATCACGATGGGAGACACCAGAAATGGGCTTCACACATTGTACCCATGTGGGGAATCGACCCCGGGGGTTCGGCGTGATGAGCGAACGCTTTAACCACTAGGCTATCCCACCTCCCCCAGAACGTGTAACAGGGAATAGTATTATATATCCCTGGACACGGAGTATATATTTTGTTTCTACATTCTCTCTGTACGTTTATACATACTCAATGCACATCGTGATCGTCATTACCTATATATATAGAGTTGCGTCCCTTTGGTAACACGACCATCTGTTCATAGTCACAGCATCAGATTCGCCCTGATTACACCAACCCACAATCAAACACTTGTTGTGTGCCTGCAGCTATCGTCACGTAGTCAGGTATCTATGTGCACTAAACACCGGACAGCTTGGGTGACGCCACACAACTGAAGTGGCATGGATTGTCCCGGGTCAGATCGACTCAACGTTTTATCTTCTTCACATATCTTCAGTTCCGATTCACTTTCAGTGTGAACATAAGGGTACGATTATTTCAACTTGGTTGCAGAGGTTGTGTGTGCTTGTGTGGGTACCTTCTTGAACTTGTCAACTGTGATGTCACCACGCTGTTTGACGTAGATAGATATGTTCCAAACTAAAGTACACACCCGCGCCTATCAGTGCTTTTGTGTGTTTGTTTTGCCGAGAGCCAAGCAGGTTAACGGCATGTGCCATCTTTCAACATCTTTGGTCTGATTTCAAGGCTGATGTCTGACAACACCACAACCGACCTCGTTGGTGGTACGGCATAAGGTTCAAAGGACCAAACACAGGAAAGTATGTCCGAGTTTTAAGATGGCAGTTTTCTTGAATTCATTCAATGAAATACCAACAAAAGATGGATTTAATTTCTTTATGTACAGAAAATATGTAATATACATGCAAGACGATACCGAACTCAAAAAATACCAAAATTGATGAATGTTTTTGCATTTATAAATCCGTTTATCAATTCTTGCATCTGTTCACCCTGAGTGGACAACAGCTCGTTGTCATATTGCTCAGCAGGTGCCCGACCACACACCGAGTCCAGGAACCCGGTGTATGGTTGGCGGAAGTCATGGAATCCGATGGTAACACTGTAGATATTGCAGATGGGACTAGTGGCGTACGTCTCAAACATCAATCCATCTGATGGAAAGATGGACCAAGTATACATATTGCACATGTAGTTGCTCTGAATATCAGAATCATCCTGAATGATGCAACTTTGGTTGTGAGGTATATGGGACTTGAATATTCATCTGACAATATATTGGACTCTTAAAAGCCCTCTTTCCTATGAATCACCATTCTACCCGATGCCAGTAATTCTCACCTATTCACCTTGGTGGTACACGAATTACTTCCTATATACAAAAGGTACCGTATTTGGTGAAATAAAGCGGATATCTTACCTACCGATACCCCCAACTTTGACACGTTATGAAATCAAATACAATAGAGATGGAAAAGGCAAACCTGTCTTCGAGAAACTGCTTTCTTGGTCTTTTCCTACCATCTGTCGTGTATAAGGGAAACTGTTTGTCATAGTATTTGTCTGTGTGTCTGGTACGTTTATTGGCTGTATTTGTCGTCCATGTCGGTGTGGCGAACACATTCATACTTGGGATAAGTCATATCCCTCTGTCAGATACATTCCTAAACAGAAATCACCATACTATCTGTCAGAAACAATGTCATGCCAATGTTTGCTATGAGACTTGACGCAAACCACGCCACGAACACGCTTACGCATACCACATTGTATTGACAAATAGTACAAATATTAGTGGTGGTTTTCGCAGCATCACAAGCACAATAATCCAAGATCAAATGACACAAGGCTACCGACAGATGAGCTATCAACTGTATCATCCGTAAACTTCGAAATCTGAGGCACACCGTCGGTTCTGGGTCCCACACATGCACTCGACGTTCCAGCTTGGGTTACGCTTAATGCTCACTGACAATCGTTGCCATGGAAACAAAGATAAAATATGCAAGGAATAAGCCGTGGGCACATCCATGAAAGCTGGTGACAATGACGGGATCGATACGGGAGGACTGACTCATCATTTGTGCTAGGTCAGCTGTTTCATAGATGAAAATTGTGTACATGTGTAATGAACTGTTACACGTTATTGGGTAATTGAAATTAATGTCGCAACAGACGTTCTCCCATGACACGAACTCATGAATGTTTTTACATACGACAATGTGTTACGTGTTCTCGAATATATTCCTGAATGCGTCTGAGTGAGTGAGTTTAGTTTTACGCCGCTTTAGTGTCCTTAAGTGTCCATTACAGGCTGCCGTAACGTAGACGTAACATTAGTGTCTATTACAGGCTGCCGTAACGTAGACGTAACATTAGTGTCCATTACAGGCTGCCGTAACGTAGACGTAACACTAGTGTCCATTACAGGATGTCGTAACGTAGACGTAACAATAGTGTCCATTACAGGCTGCCGTAACGTAGACGTAACATTAGTGTCCATTACAGGCTGACGTAACGTAGACGTAACACTAGTGTCTACTACAGGCTGCCATAACGTAGACGTAACATTAGTGTCCATTACAGGAGGTAACGTGACGTAACATTTGTGTCTATTACAGGCCGCCGTTACGTAGACGTAACATTAGTGTCCATTACAGGCTGACGTAACGTAGACGTAACACTAGTGTCTACTACAGGCTGCCGTAACGTAGACGTAACATTAGTGTCCATTACAGGCTGCCGTAACGTAGACGTAACAATAGTGTCCATTACAGGCTGCCGTAACGTAGACGTAACACTAGTGTCCACTACAGGCTGCCATAACGTAGACGTAACATTAGTGTCCATTACAGGATGCCGTAACGTAGACGTAACAATAGTGTCCATAGCAGGCTGCCGTAACATTAGTGTCTACTACAGGCTGTCTTAATGATGTGGGTTCAATCAGAATTACCTCCCTAGTTCTTAGTGTGGAATTTACCGTGTGACAGATGCTGCAGATAAAGCAACAAGAAAAAGAAGCATTAAAACTGAGTTGGCATAAACCGATTAAGAGACAAAAATTGTCGTATCCTTCCCCACGCGTGCATATACGCAAATGTGACTGAATATGGCCCATGCTGGCCTAAATAACAGAATGTAACAAAACATCAACTGTGAACAAAATGCTTAAATATTGCCGTCCGACGACGCATGTCCATTCAGAGACAGACTGGATATTAGATCCAGCTAACTCAACCGTTAACCCAGATCAAAGTTTAGCGTACGAGCACGTTGAATAACTTTCACCTGATAACCAACAATGATAACACCTTTGTGCACCGAATGACCAAGAATCCACATATGATGGTGGTAAGGCAAGAAATCTTTGGCGGGTATCTAGCACAACACGAGCGAGTTGATTTCGTTACAGTTCTCCTTTCAATGAACACATATAGTTCATTGTTGTGCCTTAACTGTCTCAAACCGGGAATTCATAAATACTTCTACACCGTATCGATGAAACAACAGCCACGTGATTAGAAGAGATACGGGACAATCTTGTGGGGCACCCTCTTGCAATATTCCACCCAAAAAGTGCCGTACTTCTGGCAACACTTGGCCTCATCCCGGTAGCTGCGATGTATCAGCAGCACGATGAGGAAGATGGTGTATGAGAAGGGCATGATGTTGACGAAGAGGGCGGGTACTGACCAGAAAAAAGGCCAACAGTATCTCCGGGATGTAATGAAAGTGTCTAGAAAAGCCCCACCAGCCAGATGCAAGAAGGATGCTCTCGCGTTCTTCTCCACTTTCAAGATGATACTTTGCTCGAATCACCTCAGCCTTGCGTCCCCAGATGAGACAGTTACCGTCAGCGCCCCTTACTGCCTGTTTCTGGTTGTCGGCGTCGTAGTTGATGTAGATGGAGAGGATACCACATGTGAGGAACAACGCTGTGAGCCATGGTCCGAGAATGACAGGCTGGTTGACGAGGTAAAGACTCACGGACGTGTAGAAGCCTGGCACAAACACTAGACAGCCCCAGCAGATGTAGTAGCCAGCACGATCAAGCATGATATCAATGGTCCGCATGTATCCCGCCTCCCACCAGAAGAACTTGGCCAAATACACGAGTTGGAGTGTGCAACAAACAAACATGCTGTCAACAAATCCATGCAGCTCGTAGCTTTTAAGGGCAAAAATCGAAACCAAAAGAGCCCAGACCATCAAACCGAACCGACAGTTGGTAAAAACCTTAATGTCATAGCCAAAGATTCTTGGGTACAGTTCCGTTCCCCAGTAATAGTCAAAAATAAAATTACCTGTTGCCCCGCAGTCGGTCGAGGAGGGAGATACTATACCCTTCACGTATAGGAATAAACAAAATATAAGGCTGAAAATATTCAGGGTTGAAAGCACTGTGTCAAACTGGTCATATATTATTGTGGGGGTCATACCTAGTTGTTTAAGGAATGCAGTAATCACAACAAATAGCACCATAGTCAGGATGAAAAACGCGAAGCCGTTATCCTTATACACGGGAACATTGCCCTTAGGGGTTAGAGGTCCATACACAGTCTTGCCGGGGATAAGCTTCATCGTGACGAGAGCATAGAAACTGTATACTACAAGTATGGCAGTTATCAAAGTGTTGTAAGGTCGGACCTGACCCCACATGTACAGCAGACCTCCCAGGATGGATCTGCCCTGGAAAACGTCAGCCATCTTGCTGTAACTACCTTCACTGTGCACCGCGGTGTACCACAAGATGATGACGAAGTTCGGTGTGGTCAGTGTCAGCAGTAGTGGGAAGACGGTAGTCTGCAAAACATGGCGAAGCTTGAGCATCCACTTATTCTGAGAGAGTGTTTCATATCCCTCCTTGTATCCTTGGAAACCGTTCTGGAGCACATCTTCTTTGCCCATTTGGCTTGACTTCCGGTGGGTAGCCTCAGTCTGGAAAACAGAAATGAAGTAGTTTGATTTATCTCGAATATTTATGCAGTCAGCTGTACGTGGTATTATTATCTGTTTGACTGAAATAAAAACTGAAAAAGATCCACGCAGAAAGTTATTACATAAGTTTTCAGTCTTACACAAGAGTCAACCAAAATATTCTCAACAATACCATGTCAGTTGCTGTCGGTGAAGTGCAGGTTTAGATGGACTGGGTCCGGTTGGGCGTGATTCAGAAGATCTGTTCGGAAGGTCTCTGGGGTGCTTCCTGCAACATCAGATATTAGATGGGTCAATATATAGTTGATATACTTCGACATACAAAGGTTTGTACACACAAAATGTTGACATGCACAGGTTTGTGGAAGCAGCATCCATATGATTTAATAACAGAAAAACAAACGTCCAGGTACAAACCAGGGGTGTCCGTATGCGCCCTGGTTACAGTCTGGTGTCTCATTAACGATGACTGGTTATCTTGTGTGACGTCACACAGTGGGACACTGTTATCAAGTTGTCATTTATTTATCAGCCTATATATTGACAGAGCTATATTGACAGGACAAGTAAAAAGTGTAGTGAGAGGATGACTGTACACTAGCACTTGCAGGAAGAAGACAGTTGTACCCAACCCGAGCACGACTGTCCACTAGCGAGGGTTACGGTTGTGCAATACCGCGCGTCAACACAAATCGTCCAATGTCATCGAGATAGACTGAGACACAATCAGAGAGCCGCATTACTCGATTCATTTTAATAGGAAGGCAAGGATGCTTGTGGTATGAAATTATACATATTCTATTGTGAATGTTAATATCTATCGATCGTGCAGGTATACTTCACCATATAGGAAACAACACTGTGCACTATTGTTATCCCAGTAAATTACCGATATTATCTTCTAGGTACTATTGTTGAAGTTTTTTATATATATTTTAATGGTCTCACAACACGAACATACGGTCATACCTGAAATGAGACCCGTTACATACTTTCCACAGGGCTTCAACTTCGGTAATGCATCATGAAGTATTTTTCAACCACAGAACAAGTCATATACACGCGTCATGATCTATAGCTCACCTGAATGCTGGAAAATATCTCAGACCAATTGTTTATATCTACCGTGACACATCCACGCTGTTTACTGTTATAAATCACTCTAACGGTTGCTATGATAGATCGAATTACAATTTAGTAAGCGCGTTTCGTGCCACTGCTGTTAGACTCAGCCTCTATCCAAAGCTCATAAACTTTGTGGTTCTAGAGGAGATGCCTTCATGGGAATACCAGACGGATACGGTTCGCCATGCTAGCGGAAAAGATTACTAAAACTTGGATGGACACAATGTTAAGCTCGGCGCATTGCTTGTCATCGCTGAATGTGACATAAAATATAATTCATGCATGCTCTCCGGACATATTGGAAAAGAATTCGTGGTTTTATAGGAAGAAAAACGTGAAAACGTTATTGTTCTTTATCCGTGGTGGATACTGAAATCTACAACAGATTGTACGCAATACATTTCAGAAGGACAACATTTCCTTTACATGACATTACTGGCTAAGGCATCCTGAATAAGTTTTAGCTGTGATCTATTTCTGTCCTTGTCCGTCACCGGTAGAAATGTATATATACTACTTTGTTCATGAAACACAGCAAATTGCCACATAACTCGCAAATGTTTATCTGCCCATTAAATGCGAATGGAACCAGGCCTGCAGGCTATACAACCAAGGTACATGTACAACAGATGGATAAACAAACAACATACACATTCTCGCGTTCAGCTAACGTCGGGGAGATCTTTTTTCCACGATATCCCATTTTAGTTTACTTTCTTGTCCTCGCGGTGATAACCCTTCCGTTCAAAGCCAGATGTGATAGCAGACAGTATTTACTTTTCAGTGAGCAGACAACACTGTCTGTCCTTTCTCTTCATTGATATACAAGGACTATTATAAATATAGCCATACATATCATACTTTTCTTCTGTATATTTTTAAATTCCAAACTGCAAGTATCTTTAAGTAACGCTTGGGCTACGACATATTCATATCAAATTGTGGGCAAAGAGTCACCTTCATTATATCCATAGACAGAAACTAATTACCACATGGGTAATGGACATTTCAAAACATCATTAAAAGTATTACAAGTGCAAATACTGGACATAAATCAGTTATAAAATCAATGTATCTGTCTTATCGGCTGTATCTGTGAAGGTAAAACTGAGGCCTAACAGTTTCATATAATTCACCATCCTTTTGCAAATTTTAAAGAAATCATGGCTTGTTTGAAATAGTGAGGATACATTATCTATATAATAAGACAATTACACAAAGGTAAGTACTGGTGAACTTTTCATATTTAGGCTACTGTTTCTTAGGTCTCTTCTCCATATTACTTCATGCAAATGAAACTCGTCATAGTTATAATCGTTCTGTTTATAAAATACAAGAATTCCGAAGAAAAAGCGGCGTAAAACTAAACTCTCTCACTCACTCACTCGATCGGACTGTTAAACAAGGCAATAACTAGAATCATTTTAGCTCCACCTACTTTGGAATGTACGTTCTCTATATATCCTAATACCCTATCAAGTGCAAGGTTCACACACGCACGTACGCATACACGCACTACACACACACGAAAAGGTTCAAAGGAAACATTGAAAGTCATAACACCGCGACAAAAGGATGACTTAGATAGTAACTAAACATGTGTTACTAGGAAATACATTCATAATGTCACTAACAGAATACTGGAATGTAGTTGTTCCACGGTCTGGAAGGCAATTTAGGGTATCAGATTACCCTCCACAACTGAGCCAGTGGGACAAGGTTGGCATCCACTTGCAGCAAAGAGGCATCGAAGTGTTAACTGATTAATCCCAGATGCTATCGTCTTAAAGAAGAAACGAGAGATCTTTCTATGAGTTAATTAAAATAGAAATATTTTTACTCGAGGGTTTACGTTTTAGCCCATTTATCGCCTTCTATTTCCTCACAAACACGTTTTTATCTCGTTCTGATTTGAGCTTGCAAGAAAAAGAAATGGAATTGAAATGATGCCAAATCCTGAATAAATATGATGTGTACACGAGGCTACTACTGCTGACAGAAGGAAACCTAACGTCTGGTTTGAAGAAATGTTTTGTGCTTCTTAGATTGGCCCGAGTATCTGCCCTACCCATGCAGACCCTCACGACGGGAGAGCGCCCTGTATATAGCCCCCCGCGCCGCGGAGCAGGGATGCCAAATGATTCACATTCAAGATCCGCAAACTAAATAATCCGTTACAGAGCGCTATTCCTGAAATACCCATCAGTGCTAATGGGATCCTGAAACGTGAGATGAACGGAGAATTGTAAAGTCCCTGTCAAAAGTAGCTGACACAAGAAGCCTGTGCAGCGACAAGGATCTTGGAAACAAAAGGGACGTGTTGTATATTCGAGAGAGTGCCAAACATGCTGTCTGAACATGCATTCCCTTTAATGCGACGTGTTCATATCACACTCCCAGGTATACTTATACATGTGACAGTATCGTCCTCACGGGTGTGCTCATTCACTCATCTGACGTCATTATCAGGTTTGTTCACATACTCGGGTGGTAATCTTCTCACGGGTACGTATGTTCATTCACTCAGCTGACGTCATTATCAGGTTTGTTCACATACTCGGGTGGTATCCTTCTCACGGGTACGTATGTTCATTCACTCAGCTGACGTCATTATCAGGTTTGTTCACATACTCGGGTGGTATCCTTCTCACGGGTGTGTTCATTCACTCAGCTGACGTCATTCTCAGGTGTGTTCACATACTCGGGTGGTATCCTTCTCACGGGTGTGTTCAATCACCCAGCTGACGTCATTCTCAGGTGTGTTCACATACTCGGGTGGTATCCTTCTCACGGGTACGTATGTCCATTCACTCATCTGACGTTATTCTCAGGTGTGTTCACATACTCGGGTGGTATCCTTCTCACGGGTGCGATCATTCACTCAGCTGACGTCATTCTCAGGTGTGTTCACATACTCGGGTGGTATCCTTCTCACGGGTGTGTTTATTCACTCAGCTGACATCATTCTCAGGGGTGTGTTCACATACTCGGGCGACATTCTTCTCTCAGGTGTGTTCGTTCACTCATACTTCCTATACTGTCATTTGTGCACATGCCATATATTCGCAGCCTCAGCAAATGCTTGGGCGTGGCAGATCATATAATCGTGCGTGTCGGTCTCACACACATGCCACATGCTTATCCTATCCTTTCCATACACGAAGACGTTCATATGTGATCATGTCGCATGTTGACGCTTGCCAATTGTTAGTTACATCTACCTGCCAACATGGTATGCCATCTGATCATCTATATTCGAAGCCGAATATATTCATGGTGCCGGTGTAGACAGAGATCAGCGGAGGTGCTTCTTCAAGAATCATCACTTTGACACAGAACGCTTTTTATTTCTGTATTTTCTTTCACGGCGTGAATGTCTGATTATAAAAGTTATTTGTTTGTTTGGAGCAGGAAGTTAATTTTGGAAGGTGGAGAGGGACACACAGACTAACTCTAAATATATATAATTTTGATAGCAACAAATAAACCCATTCAAATTGAAAAGGAGCCCCAGGGAGACAAGATCCGGATTCAGAAACTGAACCTGAGGAATCTAGACCTGCTAGACCTGGGTTCAGAATCTCTGGTCTCCCTGGGGCTCCTTTTAGTTTAAATGAGTTTGTTTGTTACTTTCAAAATTATATATTTTCAGAGACTAAGCATTAATCTAGCCTTTAGCATTGCAGGTAGATTACATTGCATGGATGGCTAGGCAGTAGGAGAATTAATGTGGTTCGGGGACTGTGAGACAGACTAAGAGACACAACAGACATGACGGATGGCCGGACAGAGTTACATGGTCGGCAACAAGATATCATGTATTTATACACCGCTCTATTAATCACACCTTCGGCACCTTAGATAAGGAAATATCATGAACTGGGCCGGGTTAATGACATACTTTCAGGCCGCTCAGTACACGACACTTACTTCTTGGACATAATGCTTTCTGTCAGAGCTCGGTGAAATTGGGTCCCATGCTGGAATTTACCGTAGCGCGATAACTATCGATTGTATATTCGGGTACTGATTTTGATAATGAGTTCCAGGTTCCTCGCCTTCCGTCATCAGCTCCGCAACCCCTGCCCTAGAACCACCCCCACCCCTAACCCCACCCACATCCCTTACCCCAGGCCTAACATGACCAATCCTCATACGTCAACCTCCTCGTACCAAAATAGGTTTGTTGTTTTCTTCAGAATTAATAGCTCTGTGTATACATGTCCGTATAATCAGACTTATGTGGTGACATTCAGGGCTGTTTACTGCCCGATATATTTACAGTATGGACGTCACACAATGTGTTCGTGGAGAGCTGCTGTCGCCAAGCATTATCTGCCCGGGAAAATGAGTTGTATTCAGTAGTATTTCTGTAATGTTGGGATGTCTGCGTCTTAGTTTATTGTATAACGCTGGACAATATTCAGGTTACATGGAAGCAATTTATAATAAATCGAGCCTGTACCAAACAATCCAGTGATTGACATAATTATGAGGCGTGATCTACGCAATGAGCGAGCTTGACCACAGAGCTCCGTTACTCGCCTCTTACGACAAGCATGAGTTGCTGAAGCCTATTTCGACCCAGGATCTTAGCGACATAAGTGCCCAACATAATCTGATGCTGTTCTTGTCCATATCGCTGAAAACCACGGACACACGTGTAGTCTCTAGTCCCCAAACCACATTATTTTGCCATTCGACCCACCCTTGCCGTAATGTCATATCCCAAAATACAGTAAGTACACTAACCTGCCTCATAGTCCCTGAACCGCATGATTTTCCCTACTGCCTAGCCCTCCCTGTAATCCTAAAGCCCTAAATGAAGCAAGTCTAGATTTCCTCAGGTTCTGAATCTCCGTTTTCACTGGGGCTCCTTTTCAATTATTTAAATGGGTTCATTTGTAAATATATATATTCAGAGACCAAGCGTTAGTCTACAAGTAGGCATTTTCTGAAACTCCTATCTCTTACTTAAGCTCTTTTCAATTTACATGCAGTTCCTTGTTTCGATAAAAAAATCTACGTTTTCTGAGACCACGTGTTCGTTTAGGGTACAGTGCTGGTAAACCAAGAATCGTAAACAGGCGTTTCTAGTTACCAACCCATCACAACAGGAATCTGGCATCAGTAAAACGGGAAGACAGCGAATGACGGTGCCTGATGATCTAGCACGACTGTTTCACACTTCCCATCTGATCCCTGGGACATTTTATGATGCGCCATCATCTTTCATGACGTGTTTCATGGTACTTTTATCCATTTGTTCGGATCAATACATCCTCCGCTCGCTTTTGAACCCATAAATAAACCCCATAAATGTATTGATATCCGAGACTATTATTGCATATCATCAATGTATTTGCAATATATATGGACAGATTTATGTTTCAAACCGTTTTTCAATCTCTCGGATAAATAGTTTTGATAGCAATAAATCATGGATTTCTATTTGAGGAATGTCCCCGGGTTGTTTTAAGAATATTCCAGAGGGTTGTACATCCTTTGATATAAAACGCCAAATGGATCTCCATGGTAACAATTATGCAGAGAGGTATTACTGATGGTACAACTTTTTAAACAAAAATAGATAAAGGTTGAATTTCACTCAAACTCTAGGCTAGCACTAAATTAAAGGACTGACTTTTTTTCTTGTCATGGTGGAATAGAGTAACATGTAGATCTAAACATACTGTGTTGTTTCATCTAGGGCTTGGTTTCCAGCAGATTTGAGATCGTAAAATTGTACATTTAAAACCTCAAGCTGCGGGTTCAAAACGACGCACTCTCAGTTGAATGCGATTAAATCTACAGGTATCTTTGCTCCAAACTGAAAACACAGCATGCTTATTTGCAAATTTTACTATAACAATATCATATGTGAATTTCGGAACTTGTATAAATGGGGATTTGCGGAGTGACGTGGTATCCGGTGTTTTACGTGTGTTGTCCACCTGTATGAGTCTGGGGAATACACCGACAATCAGCATTGAATATATGTTATAAATGTCTGCGCTAAATCTGCGATTGACTCTTGCATATATTTGAGCTGAAGCTCCGCCTGATTGTTGTATGTCCGAGCTGAAGCTTCGCCCAATTCTTGTATGTCTGAGCTGAAGCTCCGTCCAATTCTTGTATGTCTAAGCTGAAGCTCCGCCAAATTCTTGTTTGTCTAAGCTGAAGCTCCGCCCAATTCGTGTATGTCTGAGCTGACGCCCCGCCCAATTCTTGTATGTCTGAGCTGAAGCTCCGCCCAATTCCTGTATGTCTGAGCTGAAGCTCCGCCCAATTCTTGTATGTCTGAGCTGAAGCTCCGCCCAATTCGTGTATGTCTGAGCAGAAGCTCCGCCCAATGCTTGTATGTCTGAGCTGAAGCTCCGCCCAACCCGTGTAATGTCTGAGCTGAAGTTCCGCCCATAGTGGCGGTTCTCGGGTCAACTGTGGTCAATATGTGTATGTCTGGGCTGGAATACCGCTCTACCTTATATGCGATGACGCCCTTCAACATACAGCCATCACCCCCTCCTCTGAGACACCCTTAATCAACCCCACCCTCCAGTCCTTGCACAGCACAGTACGGAAATATGGCTATGAGCTCAGTATTGTTTTTCACATTCATATGTGTTACTCGTACATATGACATGTATTAACAGTGTATAGCACGGCCACCACCCACCCATTATGAAATGAAATCAAACCTAGCGGTTATATGACGTTGAATCGTCCATTGTCACTACAAGCATGGCGTCATGGTCGGGTACTGACAATGCTCTTTCGCGATACACTTTGAGTTTGATTTCTGTAGTATTTCCCACATTGCCACATAAACTTTGAAAATGCCTAATAACCTCACCTGTGCATTTTATAACCCACAACTGTACATAACAATATCTATCGACAATGATATAAAACAGTTTTAACACAAGTTTCCACAATTGTGCTGCCGTCAAACAACTGAAACCCTTGATGGACCAACCAGAATGGGTGTGTTATTTCTAAATTCATAATTGTTTGATATAGTGCTGCGATTTGACTCTTAATCTGTGTTTGTATTCACCGCCCAATATTAGCGATAGAAGTATATCGTTCAAGCACCCAGATACGCGACGGTTCAAGTTGCTCTGTAAAACACAGCCACACCAGCAGACTGAGGTTTACGACATCAACTTGTCATTCACAACACACGCATGGCGGCACCTACTGCTATATTCTATCATGACAAACCTACGCAAAGGCGAACTTTAGTGTTAGTAAAATATTTGGTGAAACGACACTAATGGACTAAAATGTTTTCAGGAGGTTGTCAAACTGAATTTAGGAAATATCGATAATAGACTTTAAAAGGTGTATATGCCCCAACATAATATTTGTCCATCGCATAACTTAATATTCACACATGATAGTCACGGAATATGGGCAGCATGGGAATGCAATGAGCCAGCATGAACTGGGCACCACTAAATGTGAATTACAAGTGAGACTTAAATATTCGAGTCAGGTCTAGTGTTAGGAATATATTATTCACTTTTATGAATAAACCATTGTTAAGCAGAACATCCTTTTTGATTAAATTTTAATATATAAAAATCTGACTTTCAGATAATGCTGTACCGAAATATATAATATCAGAGAAAAACTAAAATCGGCAGATCGTACCCATTTGCAAAACAATCAATAGACATTTGAAACTTGTTTCAATGAATATTTTTCTCTCTGAAGCAATGCTACAGCTAGCATGGGCAAGATACGAGGGATTTGATAAATGGTCCAATTTAACGCGGAACCTTTGCGAAATAACCTAATGGATAATTTGATCAATAGACCAAAATGATAATCACAGAACACTACTGGAGAAAATAGCTAAATATATCATAACGGTAATAATCCTAATTATGTGCAATTGGTCAGAGGTACTTACACGCCAAGTGATAGTGAGCGCTACTCCATGGAGACCGAGATGGTGAAGACAGAGAGGTGTGAGTCACAGCGGAGATAACGTCGCTCTGAGGTGGAAACCGACAAGGGTCGACGCTAGGCTGTAATAACAGAAACAGTCAGTGAGATGGGATCCTGTCAGACATCGCTCAACCCAACCCTGCCCGCCCCTGCCTGCCTGGGAATATTACACGCTCAGCGGTGTATCCAGTGTGAGCTGGACAAGGGTGCGCTCACGGCACATTCCAAGGTCTGTTCATGTGTAGAGATGTTATCGAGTGGTCATAATATTTCTTTTATACAGTCGCAAAACCATTCAGACCGACAATGCCGACCGAGATAGTGCTTTAGTACTTGGTAATTTGACACGGGACGATGAGAAACCGCGACACTGTATCCAGGTGTTGGTGTTGAGAATAGTGAATGTCATCGTAAAGTGCAGACCTCCACACATGAACGGTCATCACGAGTGTACAAACGGCCCCAGGCGTCTAACATGTACACACAATGATGACCGTCACATCTGTACAAGGTCGGCCGTCACACATAGACACACAGTCCCGGTCGTCACACGTGTACGCACAGTCCCGGTCATCACACGTGTACACACAGTCCCGGTCATCACACGTGTACGCACAGTCCCGGTCATCACACGTGTACACACAGTCCCGGCCATCACACGTGTACACACAGTCCCGGTCATCACACGTGTACGCACAGTCCCGGTCATCACACGTGTACACACAATCCCGAGTCATCACACATGCACACACAGTCCTGGTCATCACACGTGTACACACAGTCCCGGTCATCACACATGCACACACAGTCCCGGTCATCACACATGCACACACAGTCCCGGTCATCACACATGCACACACAGTCCCGGTCATCACACATGCACACACAGTCCCGGTCGTCACACGTGCAGACACAGTCCCGGTCGTCACACGTGTACACACAGTCCCGGTCATCACACATGCACACACAGTCCCGGTCGTCACACGTGCACACACAGTTCCGGTCATCACACATGCACACACAGTCCCGGTCATAACACGTGTACACACAGTCCCGGTCATAACACGTGTACACGCAGTCCTGGTCATCACATGTACACACAGTCCCGGTCATCACACGTGTACGCACAGTCCCGGTCATCACACATGCACACACAGTCCCGGTCATCACACGTGTACACACAGTCCCGGTCATCACACGTGTACACACAGTCCCGGTCATCACACGTGCACACACAGTCCCGGTCATCACACGTGTACACACAGTCCCGGTCATCACACGTGCACACACAGTCCCGGTCATCACACGTGTACACAGAGTCCCGGTCATTTCACGTATAGTCCCGGTCACACGTGTACACACAGTCCCGGTCATCATCAGTCGGTCATCACGTGCACACACAATCCCGGTCATCACACATGCACACACAGTCCCGGTCATCACATGTGTACACACCGTCCCGGTCATCACACGTGTACACACAGTCCCGGTCATCACACGTGTACACACAATCCGAGTCATCACACATGCACACACAGTCCCGGTCATCACACGTGTACACACAATCCCGGTCATCACACGTGTACACACAATCGCGGTCATCACACGTAAGAAAAGAGAACGCCACTACAAATAAATACATCACGAAGGCCAATGACTGTAGGAAAGGAGTGAGAGGACACATGTCCTTGTTACTGTATATGAATTAAGTTTTGCTCAGCTTTTCCATTCTGCAGGCAAATATTACGTCGGGGGGCCCAAGAAAAGTGAGGAATCGAACCCTGGTCGTCACGCTTTTATCAGTTAAGTCGATTGTTTATTCAGTAAAGACTTCGGCTATATGCCCCTCGTCTCATTTTACTCTGTATACATGATAGAATATGGTTATCCATTGCAATGCAATATACATGTACATATTTTTTTACATTTACAGAAGGAGGCTGGACAAAACATTTCGGTACTTACATGCATAACTTTATGTATTTACATAATTTTGCAATACTATCTTTAGATGGGTTTCTTAATAATTCCAAAAATTTCAACATATTTGGTTTCTTCCAAACATAAGGTTTAATCAGCTGATTTGGATGTACTGTATGTTTTGGGCAAATTAAAACGAAATGGTATTCATCTTCAATTACACTTACAGTAGATACAATATCTTTTCTCCTGATCAATATTTTCATAACGCCCAGTTTCAATTTTTAATTTATGACACGAAATTCGTAACATAGTTAAATACCCAACAGTATAGTCTATCAGTAGACTATGTCACTGGCTGTACTGAGGGAGGCGGGAGGAAAAGGGTTCACGCAACATGATAGAGATAGATTTGTATTGGGTGAATAATTTATAGAAACCATAGAGGAGTCCGTCGTATACATTATTGTAGAGGAAGACGGATCCCGTTGATCAGGAGTGAGAGGACGACGGATCCTGTTAAGTGGGAAACAGGGGAAGAGGGGTCTCTACATAGAAATGAGAGGAAGAGGGCCCTGCTAAATGGGAGTGAGTGGAAGAGGGTGCTGTTAAATAAGAGCGAGATGAAGGGTGACCCTGTGAAATTTAAGGAAGAGGGTTCTGTTAAATTTGAGGGAGAGGGTCCTGTTAAATAAGAGAGAGATGAAAACTAGTTCTGTAAAATATAGAAGTGAGAGGAAAATGTGTAGAAGCGAGATAAAGTAGGTCCGGTTAAGCCGGAGAGAAAGAAGTGATTCTGGAAAAAGAGCCCCTCGTTCGTCTGAAATGAGAGGGAAAGTGATCCCAACAGAGAATATCAGACCCAAGACAAGTAACTGATCCATTGCATCCAGACGAGTCAGCACACCGAACAAAGGACATCTCCCATCGATTTCTAAGCAGCATAATCGACGACATTGTGGGTCGGATGGCACCTCAAGATGGGACGAGAATCGAATCCAATTAACACAGAAACCACGAAAAGCTATTTTGGCCTGAACACATCTGCTAGAAGTCTGTAAGGCAGGAGAGCTGTTTACACCAGTAACACGTCAATGTGCATGGGTTTGCCAAAGAGATGAATCTCTATCTTTATATTTAATGTGGAACCTTTATTTTTATGAATGCTGAAACTACAGGGAGGTCAATGTGTGGCTGAATATCACTGTTTCCTGCTGCTTTTGCGCTCGTATTATATACAGCGTTAAGATAGAAATAATGAGTTTGTGTGTGAAATGCCTCGTATTGTAGATAAACACATCTCGAAACTGAAATTACAACACAGGAGGTAATAATGAAGTCTGCACGCCTGACGGTTGTATCTCACACCTACTCCAAGCAGTTTGTCAAATGTGTTGCCCTGGCAACGTGTTCCATCGCTACAAACAGTAGCAGTTACTCCTTCCTTGTGGGGGACAAGTGTTGTAAGGAAAAGGGATTTATATGCATTATTCGTTTGTTGTGTGTGAAAGCAGAATACATGGTTTTATATTGATGTAATTCAATGATATACATAAAGCGGTATAGCATGATCGTATGTTATCTCATCGCAGGAAGGCGGCATGCATATTTGCTACTGGTGTACCAGTGTATAACAGGGAGAACGTACACATTAGATAACACATGCATACCTGCACAGATATGCAAAATATGGACGTACACATATGCATTTGCAATCATATATACATACGCAAACATACATAGCTACACATATAGGTGAAAAGACACATACGCTAGTACACATATACATGTACACGGAGTAAACATACATACATACATACATACATACATACATACATACATACATACACACAGACATACATACATACATACAGACAGACAGACATGCAGGCATACAGACAAACAGACATGACGACAAATACCGTATCCGATGTAACCTGTTGTACCTTGTTTAAATCTACCTTCCGTATCTGATATGACCTGATATACTTTGTATAAATATACCTTCCGTGTCCTATGTGACGTGCTATGATCTTCATACAGATAACATCCGTATCCTATGTGACCTGCTATACTTTGTATACAGATAACATCTGAGACCTATGTGACGTGCTATGGTCTGTATACAGATAACATCCGTGTCCTATGTGACCCGTGAATCCTGCATGTGCTGGATCTGTATACAGATGACTGACCTACAGATAACATCCGTGTCCCTATGTGACCCGCCTACAGATAACATCCGTGTCCTATGTGACGTGCTATGATCTGTATACAGATAACATCCGTGTCCTATGTGACCTGCTTTACTTTGTATACAGATAACATCCGTGTCCTATGTGACCCGCTATACTTTGCATACGGATAACATCCGTGTCCTATGTGACGTTATGATCTGTATACAGATAACTATCGCATCCTATATGACCTGTTATACAGATAACATCCGTGTCCTATACTTTGTATACAGATAACATCCGTGTCCTATGTGACGTGCTATGATCTGTATACAGATAACATCCGTGTCCTATGTGACCCGCTATACTTTGTATACAGATAACATCCGTGTCCTATGTGACCCGCTATACTTTGCATACGGATAACATCCGTGTCCTATGTGACGTGCTGTGATCTGTATACAGATAACTATCGCATCCTATATGACCTGTTATACAGATAACATCCGTGTCCTATGTGACCTGCTTTACTTTGTATACAGATAACATCCGTGTCCTATGTGACGTGCTATGATCTGTATACACATAACATCCGTGTCCTATGTGACCTGCTTTACTTTGTATACAGATAACATCCGTGTCCTATGTGACCCGCTATACTTTGCATACGGATAACATCCGTGTCCTATGTGACGTGCTATGATCTGTATACAGATAACTATCGCATCCTATATGACCTGTTATACAGATAACATCCGTGTCCTATGTGACGTGCTATGATCTGTATACAGATAACATCAATGTCCTATGTGACCTGCTTTACTTTGTATACAGATAACATCCGTGTCCTATGCGACGTGCTATGATCTGTATACAGATAACTATCGCATCCTATGTGACGTGCTATGTTTTTCATGGTGTAACTATCATCTGCGAAACGTGTATAAGGACAGTTACTGTGTGACGTGAACACTCTCATCTTAGCAGCAGTGTTCGTATCCCGTAATACGCAGAAGACAAGTATAGCTATACATTACCCCACAGTTCCTGTCTATATACCCAGCAACAATGTAACACAAAAGTATACACACCATCAACACTTTCATCATTCAGATATCTCTAGCAGCATTACTATGCACTGTAGGCCATCGTCACACTATTCACATACTACGCGGTGTATATCGTTGTCATGCCACTGGCAGCTAGATCATCTAGAAAATCAGACACAACATGTGACATTGTCCCAGCACCTAGTCAAGATTCATCATGTATAAATGTCATGCCATAATGCACAACCAGACACAACATGTGACATTGTCCCAGCATCATAGTCCAGGTTCATGGCGTATAAATGTCATGTCATACACAACTAGACACAACATGTGACATCGTCCCAGCACCTAGTCCAGATTCATCGTGTATAAATGTCATGTCATACACAACCAGACACAACATGTGATATTGTCCCAGCGTCATAGTCCAGATTCATCGTGTATAAATGTCATATCATACACAACCTGACACAATATGTGACATTGTCCCAGCATCATAGTCCAGTTTCATCGTGTATAAATGTCATATCATACACAACCAGACACAACATGTGACATTGTCCCAGCATCATAGTCCAGATTCATCGTGTATAAATGTCATATCATACACAACCAGACACAACATGTGACATTGTCCCAGCATCATAGTCCAGATTCATCGTGTATAAATGTCATATCATACACAACCAGACACAACATGCAAACTTGTTATAACCTGTAGAATCTGATACCATCAACATGCATGCATCACACAACAAGGTACCAAATTTACCAGCCTTTTGTCCCACACAAGACACACCTTGTAGAATTGTCTTAGGGAATACAATCTCATACACCATGTATCAGTGTCCTATCCAAACAACCAATTACCCCATGGGCCATTGTCATAATCTGCAAAGATACACCAAGTTCAATTCTCATGCCCCACAGGACCTGACACACCAGGTACCATCATCACATCCTGCACAACCAACACAATCAGATACACAGCTTACCATAGTAATACCCAGATACCTCATCTTAACTCAACCACATATACCATGTTCAATAGTTACATCCCACACAACCAAATATACCATGTTCAATAGTTACACCCCACACAACCAGATGTACCATGTGCCTATAGTCATATCCCCAACACAACCAGATGTACCATGTACTATAGTCATATCCCCAACACAACCAGATATACCATGTGCCACTATCATATCCAACACAACCAGATGTACCATGTACTATAGTCATATCCCCAAACACAACCAGATGTACCATGTACTATAGTCATATCCCCAACACAACCAGATGTACCATGTACTATAGTCATATCCCCAACACAACCATACCATGTACTATAGTCATATCCCCAACACAACCAGATGTACCATGTACTATAGTCATATCCCCAACACAACCATACCATGCACTATAGTCATATCCCCAACACAACCAGATGTACCATGTACTATAGTCATATCCCCAACACAACCAGATGTACCATGTACTATAGTCATATCCCCAACACAACCAGATATACCATGCACCAATGTGCGAAATAGTTTCCAAATTTTGCTAGCTAGTCGGGCTAGCTATGCCGGAAAGTTACTATCCCACAACATATTTCAATAGCTCGAAATTTGAATGTAGAAACTAAGCAAAAGATTACAAAAATAGATGAAAATAAGATATTGACGGCATGACACGGGTTTCATCATTAAGCTCCTAATATGATGAACTTTTTTATCAGGCCGTAATCTTGCATGATTTAAAAGTGTATTGTAACTTAACAAGTCGGAGACAGTGATATATTTACAACATGACCCCATGAAAATTCACTAGCCAGTCGGCCCAATGATTGTGGAGAATTACTGGCCCGACTGGATTTTTAATAGTCATCTCACGGGCTAGCGGGCCAGTGGCTATTTCGCACACTGTCATGTACTGTAGCCATATCCAACACAGCCAGACACACCATTAGCTTTAGTCATATCCAACACAACCAGACATACCACGTACCATAGTCATATCCAACATCAGACATACCATGTACTATAGTCATATCCAACATCAGACATACCATGTACTATAGTCATATCCAACATCAGACATACCATGTACTATAGTCATATCCAACATCAGACGTACCATGTACTATAGTCACACCCCACACAACCAGATACACCATGTGCAACTGTCACATCACAGATAAACCCGGTAACATTGCAATACCCCACACAACCAGATAAACCCGTTTTCATTGTCACATAGTCTCTCGTACAGACCCTGTAGCAAATTGTCAAGAATACCCCACAAGTAGTCTAGAAAATGAGCCAGATAAAGTCTCGGGGCTCCTTTTCATTATATGTATATTTTTTTACTATGAACTTTTTTCAGTAAAATATGTTCATTTCAGAGACTAGATGTGAGTCTATGTCTCACCCCACACAACCAGATAAACCCGGTAACATTGTCATACCCCACACAACCAGATAAATCCGGTAACATTGTCATACCCCAAACAACCAGATAAACCCGGTAACATTGTCACACCCCACACAACCAGATAAACCCGGTACCATTGTCATACCCCACACAACCAGATAAACCCGGTACCATTGTCATAACCCAAACAACCAGATAAACCCGGTACCATTGTCATACCCCACACAACCAGATAAACCCGGTACCATTGTCATACCCCACACAACCAGATAAACCCGGTTCCATTGTCATACCCCACACAACCAGATAAACCCGGTAACATTGTCACACCCAACACAACCAGATAAACCCGGTAACCATTGTCATACCCCACACAACCAGATAAACCCGGTAACCATTGTCATACCAAACACAACTGATAAACCATTTACAACTGTCATACCCAACACGACAAGATAAACCATTTACAACTGTTATACCCCACACAACCAGATAAACCCGGTAACCATTGTCATACCCAACACAACCAGATAAACCCGGTACCATTGTCATACCCACACAACCAGATAAACCCGGTACCATTGTCATACCCAACACAACCAGATAAACCCGGTACAACTGTCCTACCCAACACAGCCAGATAAACCATTTACAACTGTCATACCCAACACAATCAGATAAACCATTTATAACTGCCATACCCAACACGACCAGATAAACCTTTTACAACTGTCATACCCAGCACAACCACATAAACCTTTTACAACTGTCATACCCAACACAACCAGATAAACCATTTACAACCGTCATACCCAACACAACCAGATAACCATTTACAACCATTTACAACTGTCATACCCCACACAACCAGATAAACCATTTACAACTGTCATACCCAGCACAACCAGATAAACCATTTACAACTACCCACAACCCAGCCAGCACAACCAGATAAACCATTTACAACTGTCATACCCAGCACAACCAGATAAACCATTTACAACTGTCATACCCAGCACAACCAGATAAACCATTTACAACTGTCATACCCAGCACAACCAGATAAACCATGTACAACTGTCATACCCAGCATTGTCATACCGCAGATAAGTGTGACCATACCCTGTACAACAACTGTCATACCCAGCACAACCAGATAAACCATGTACAACTGTCATACCCTGCACAACCAGATACACCATGCACCGTTGTCATACCGCACATCACCAAGTGTGATTGTCATACCCTGCACAACCAGACACACCATGCACCATTGTCATACCGCACATCATTAAGTGTGATTGTCATACCCTGTACAAGCAGATACACCATGTACCATTGCCATAGCCCTCAGAGTCCAGTAAACTGTGTATACACTCCACATTCATATTACAACGGGTACAACATTCCCCTCCTGATGAGGAACAACGTCAGTCTCGCCGTACGTAAGGTGATAGTAACTCCTCGGCTCTATAGTTAGCTAACAAGACCCATGTACATTCCAATATGTTGTGAATTACTGTAACATTAATTGATCTCATGATATCGGAATGTTAATTAATCTTATGACCTGAATACGACTGGAGGATATATTTGTCGCAAACGGGCCGAGCGTGATTTGATATTGCTGTAAGCATATATGTACTGCACATACCGTCATGTGTGTTCTGTTCCTGACATGAATATGGAAACAGATATATCAATATTTATATACGCTATCATGAGTTTTCTTTCCTGCACAGTGTTACAGTGTCCGGTAAGCATTGCTAGAGGTCCCCTGTATACAGTAGCCAATGTTGACAGGTTTAAACTACTCACTTTAGAGAGTGTTTTAAGTTCTTGTGATAAAAAAGTTCACATCAGTTGCAATACTTAAAGTGCTGTACAAGTGCCGGATCATGCATATACATTGAACATTGTACATATGTATTGAAAAGTATTGATCAGTACCAGCTGTGACACACATTATAACACAATGCACTTGCAGGTGCCATCCAGGAAATGTACATAATACAAGTGCAGCTGACCCCACTGATGTCGATGTATAATGTTCAGTGACGCCACAAAAATGTCTTTTTTTAAACATTTTATTTGTTGTCAATGGTCGTTAAATCATCCTCTTACTGGCATTAAGTAGGATCATACCATCAACAGTTGACGAAGTTTCTTCATGTCATTGTAATGTTTACGAATAAAAATACAATTTAGACGTAAAGACACTCACTGCTGGTCACGGTAACAATTCTCAAAGCGCTGTCGTCCGTTTTCTGTCGTCTGCTTTCTGTCGTCTGCTTTCTGTATCGTCTGCTACTGGGCTGCTCTATAAACTCCGCCTCTCCTCTCTGAAGTGTGGACAGCACGCGATATGATCCTATTATACCACTCTTGGCTGATCATACGATCTCACCTCAGCGAAGGTCAGCGCGCATGCTCAGTAATAGTTCAAGCAGACGAATCCCATCAGTTGTAGATTACACTTCTGAATTATTGGTGTTGGGTCTGTTCCTAGACATTTCTTATTCAAATTTAGAAATTGCTCGTGGAATGTGGGCTTGTCTTTGCAGACGTAGGAACATCGATTCAGTGTGAAGCCGCTGCGCTATGAGTTGACTGGCGGCCGCAATAGGTTATTTACCGAGCCGGGGATTCCCAGGCAAGAGATTGACCTCTGGGAATGCTGCGCGTGCCCAGGTCAAGATGGCGAACGTTGAATGGAGGAGATCGAGGCTATGCCTGTCAATTGAGGTCCCATGTTACCTCACACCACTACACCTTCCAGTCAGGCCAAGTCATTCAGTACATAGGTACCGAAAGATATGTAGGTCCGTGAGAGAAAGCGAGCTCCTGAATCACGTCCTACCGAAATATCCACCGTCTGTCTTTAAATGCCAAGTGGTGCCCACATGCCATAACCAGTAACAGAGTGAGGGTATTATGAGTAACAACGTACACCTGTTATGTACTTAAACCCAACTTTCCAAACCACATGTACAAGATGCATTACTATGAACAATGTGTCAAATATTACCACGCTTGCCAGGACCTATTAGTAACGAATAACAGACCTTCGCACCGATACGAATCAGGCGATCTGTCGGACCACTATTCACATAACACAGCGATTAATTTTCTAATAAATTCTGATTAAACCTAAAATTCATTTAAGCTTCGATGAGCCTTTGTTTAATTAACGGAGGGACGTTCAGTTGTTAACTGCTAGGGATGCAGGGCAGGACAGCATCACCTCTTCAGTGCAGCTGAAATTTCAACAAAGAGTATTTGGATATTCTGAACTATCTTCACTCTTAAGAATTATCGATTAATGAAAACAGTTCACGTCGCCGTGGTGGGATGCGGTTGTACTGAAGCGAAATTCGATATGTGTTTTAAATTAAATATTTTAATCGATGGAGGAGAATGTTCCAAAACTCGATTTCAGTGACAACGCTTGACTCGCCATCGTCGAAAAGAATGTACACAGTATCGACACCTATATACTGTGCATGTCGGCAAATTGTATTAGGTATCTTAGGCTGAGACTGAGTAATTGTACAATACCAGTACAATAACAAGGAGTCCGCTGATAGTTCACGTTGTCTCCAATGTACATAAATCAAATGGCTGCAGAGATAACGTAACTTGTCTATATGTTGATCGGCAGTGCAAAAACCATAGCAACCAATGTTGGGTGTGGCTGTGCACACTTATTATTGCAAATCCATTAAACTGAATTGCTGTCACTATAGGCAGTCTGCGGAATAGTCACACATGGCGATCTTATCTACACATGTCAATATCACAGATGATATAACCTGGGATAATACCGGGGCAATCAGAACTTGTTATTTACAGTTTTCCATTATGCTCAACTACTAGTGATATTACAAGGTCTAGAAAGCGTTGTTACCTGCTCTATTTGTGTCCGCGAGTTATCTACAGCAGTGGTCTTAAACTGACCACAGCTATAGTTTCACTAACACTGTTCAGTGAATTCCTATTCGTTTAGAAACATGGCTGTCACGACAGCCATATTGAAAATGTATTTTTTGTGGCGTTCATGATGGGCACATTTATGTATCTTTCGTGTTGAAAATCATGTTGATTTCATATGAATAGTTTTATTATCTTTGACCCCGATGTGACCGAATTGTAACTGTACTTAACTTACTATGAGTCGTTGTATTTTTAAAACCCTATTTTAAATTTGATTTGCATATGAGAGGCAGACTGAGGGTTACTGTAGTTCAAATATGTATATTAATAAGTGACTGAATAGAAGAATAAACTTACATGCTGAGTGAGTGATGTATTAGGTATGTAGCAGATACAACGTTAATTTAAAGTTACAGTATGACGAGAAAAGAAAAACGTCTACGCATACCCCACCCTATAGTAGAATCTACTGACAGATAATTAGTCACGATTTCAACTCGACTTGTCGCCACACATTTTCCCTTAAGATGCTGTTTAGTTCTGTCTAGCAGTGAGACCGATGATTTGCTGTAGAGGTGGAGGGGCAATCCACAACTATAGACATTGTGCAATTCATCTTTTTATAAATAATCATCATAGAAAACCAAATGCATATAATGAATGAGAGAAAAGTGCGTTTTTGTTTTATGTGACAATGTGATATGTGTTACATACTGTCTATTAAATATGCTGTTAAGAATTCCACATTGTATGTTTTGAATTTGTGATTCATTAATATATTCATCTAACGCCTTTGTTGCAGAGGAATGAGACCAGCAGGTGACATTAGAGAGCGACGTCCTTTTAGCTGACAGGGCTAAGTGACATGTGGGAATGATACGAACGATTGGTCCGTTGGTGTACCATGCGCTTACTTCAAACTTTACCAGCTTATCTTGATGTACCGTGTAACTGCATACAAACATTACTAGCTTTTCTTGGTGTAGCATGTACTGCATACAAACATTACGATTTAACATGTACTGCATACAAACATTACGATTTAACATGTACTGACTTCAAACATTACGAGGAAACATGCACTGCGCACAAACATTATCAGCTTACCTTGGTGTAACAAGCACTTACTTCAAACTTTGCCAGCTTACCTTGGTGTAACATGAACTGCATACAAACATTACGATTTAACATGTACTGCATACAAACATTACGAGGTAACATGTACTGACTTCAAACATTACGAGGAAACATGCACTGCGTACAAACATTATCAGCTTACATTGGTGTTCCGTGTAACTGCATACAAACATTACTAGCTTTTCTTGGTGTAACATGCACTGCATACAAACATTATCAGCTTACCTTGGTGTACTGTGTAACTGCGTACACACATTACTAGCTTTTCTTGGTGTAACATGTACTGCATACAAACATTACGATTTAACATGTACAGACTTCAAACATTACGAGGAAACATGCACTGTGTACAAACATTACTAGCTTACCTTGGTGTAACATGCACTGTGTACAAACATTACTAGCTTACCTTGGTGTAACATGCACTGTGTACAAACATTACTAGTTTACCTTGGTGTAACATGCACTGTGTACAAACATTACTAGTTTATCTTGGTGTAACATGCACTGTGTACAAACATTACTAGCTTATCTTGGTGTAACATGCACTGTGTACAAACATTACTAGTTTACCTTGGTGTAACATGCACTGCGTACAAACATTACTAGTTTACCTTGATGTAACATGCACTGTGTACAAACATTACTAGTTTACCTTGGTGTAACATGCACTGTGTACAAACATTACTAGTTTATCTTGGTGTAACATGCACTGTGTACAAACATTACTAGCTTACCTTGGTGTTACATTAACTGACTTCACACATTACTAGCTTACCTTGGTGTAACATGCACTGTGTACAAACATTACTAGTTTACCTTGGTGTAACATGCACTGTGTACAAACAATACTAGCTTACCTTGGTGTAACATGCACTGTGTACAAACATTACTAGCTTACCTTGGTGTAACATGCACTGTGTACAAACATTACTAGTTTATCTTGGTGTAACATGCACTGTGTACAAACATTACTAGCTTACCTTGGTGTTACATTAACTGACTTCACACATTATTAGCTTACCTTGGTGTAATATGCACTGCTTTTCGAACAGAACCTTGCTGCCGTCAAACACTAGCTTCCTTGAAATATCATGAACTGCATTCAAACATTGTTAGAATACCTTGTTGTAACAAACACTGTGTTCAAACGTTATTCTTGTTACAGGCACTGTAATCAGACAATAAATGATTACTTGGATGTAACATGAACTGTGTACAAACATTACCAGATTAACACGACGTTATGTGCACTACATTTAGGATGACTAGATCACCTTGGTGCAACATGTCCCGCATTCAAAGATTACATTTCCAGTGTATGCACTGATCTGTATGCACTGAGAGAACTCTTTTTGTTAGACAAGAACACATGATGTTTATCATTTCGGCGTAAAACCAATGACAAGTGCATTGGCTGGGACAGTTCTCGTACAGTACATTGGTAATGTACTTGGCACACTGTACGGCTTCTTCGTGGTGCTGTTCCTGGAAAGTTGAATAAAGTGCAGTACATAAGATATATGTTTGGTTGGATACGTGTAACCGAGCGCTTGTCGAGTTGTTTGGTACGGAATGACCCGCTATACAACTTCTCACAAGGCCATGGTATGCGATGCAAGATCCAGGCAGGATCGAAGTGGCGCTGATACGTACTGACCTTCAACCTTCCGTCTAAGACAGCGTTTCTCGTAATGTCCGCTGGGCGACCCAGCTTACACAAGTAGAAATTACATATTGTACTAATCTGGATCAGGTATACACTATGGTATTATCCTGTAAAGGTAGCGCTTTGATCAGGTACCTGTCGCGCGTCACTGCAATGAGTGAGTGCGAGTAGGTGAGTCTAGTTTCACGCCGCATTCAGCAATATTCCAGCAATATCATGGCGGGGGATATCATAACACTTTAACACATTGTACCCATGTGGGGAATCGAACCCAGGCTGACCCACTTTAACCACTAGGCTACCCCAACGATCGTCTTTGCTAAGAATAGATATCAAAATATGTTTAGACTCGAGTTATAACAATGACATGATGTTCAAACTGGGGATGACCACAATGGCTGCTGTGTATGCATGACGTGTGCGTGAGTATAGTTTTACATCGCCTCTAGCAATATCACAGCAGGGAACACGTGAAATGCATTCACACATTGTACCCATGAGGGAATAGACCCCGGGTCTTCGGCGTGACGAGCAAACGCTTTAACGACAAGGCTGCTCCACCGATCCATGCGTTTAATAAGTGATAACAATGAAACGTATGCGGAGACATGGTTCGTTGTGTGTCACTGTTCCCGGGAAGTATATGGGTTGTGTTTTCACACTGTCGACCAATAGTCTATCTGGCCAATGAGGATCTAGGTACAAGATCAGATTGATTCCATCTTAGACATTATGAATGTACTATTTCAAAAACTGTCTTCTTGAAAAACTTACCATAATGTCACGCTACGAAAATGCAGATGTTAGAGTGA